GTTGCCTACATTTTAGTGCATCTGAAAGTTGAGGGGATAAAATATTTTTGTATTATTTCAAAGCAGTATTTATATAGACCTTCACAGTTCTCAGAAGAAATAAAGTCATAGGAAAGAGAGACATTCTTTTCCCTCGAGCATGGACCAGGAAGCAGCTGGTGACAGAAGGTAAGCAGCTGAGCAGAACAGGACACTGGATCCCCCGCGTCACACACCAGTGTGCAGTGGGGCCCCAGAGATCTCAATCCCTGAGCTCTAGTCCCTTCAAGAAAAACATCACTTGAGAAAATTACACTTTAACTAATATGACTAATCTGCTGGAATTCTTATTAGAAACCGTTGTTATTGGCAGGTTCTGAAATTGTTCACTTACTCTTCTCTGTCCATCATCCATAATGCAAACTCCACTTTCCCTGCTACCAACAAGGGACTTGTTATGACTATTAACACATTTTAAAATCCACCTCAGGATGCGTTTTCCAAAAGCTTTGGGTAGCGATACCCGTCATTCATAAGGAGAACTGGCAGGGACAGCCCACATGGCGACCCCAGCTGACTGGGACCTTCGCTGAACCCAGAGGTCATGTTCAGAAGGCCATGAAAAGAACAGCCTGACGCTGGGCGTAACATTTTAACATGCTTTGTTTCCACACCAGCTTATTTTGGTTTATGTGAAAAATAATCTGTTCAGTCTTCAAGAGGGTACGTCTACTTCGAGGAAAGCGGAGGTGGAAGAACGTACCCTCCGTGAGATCTGACACGCGTCAGGAACACACATCCGGCTGCTTAAACTTCCTACACTTCAGAGATGCTTCAGGTTCACATTCAGTACAAGCAGATTTCCGAGACTATTTCATTTCATTTATCCAATTTGAACAACACTAAGTGCCCACTCCTGAGACCACATGCTCCAGACAAAGAAGCTCGCATCCCTCCACGTACGCCTCCTCTCCTCCCCACCCCCCCATTACAAGGAGCATTAGCAAAAATGTTGGTAGAAAAATTCCATCCGCCTATGCAATGGCATCACACCTGCTTGTAATGAAACCATCACGTGGCCTACTTGTCCAGCCCACACAGCTTCGTTAGGAATGCCTGCTGTGGCACATGTGTGTAAGTAAGGGGCTGCGTGTGGACCGAGGGGTATTCCTAAACATTACCAAACGCGTGTGATAATGTGAGTTTTGTATTAACCAATGTATTTGTATCACAAATAAGTGTAGTGAAGCCACGGGCATGAAGAAAAATAAAAGGGAAATTCTCCTTCTGGCTTGCAGTGTGGCACATGACCTGTCTCCGAGGGAATCGCTTAGATAACAAATGTCTGGTGGCTACAAGACTGGATCTGCTTCTTAATTAAGAATGAGCCTTAACACGGGAGGTCTCTAGCCATTGGTCTTTGTGCTTAAATAATGTTATCACAGAGTCTATGTGGGTAGGTCCAAAATGAACCACTGAAATGAAACGCTGGGCGCACACGGGTCAGATCCAGTTCACTCTCCCTCTATCAGACACACACATCGCCATGTTCCCTAAACGAGAGGTCAGCAAACAGGAATTCAGAGCCGGCCCCGGGAAAACACAAAGGCAGCTGCCTGAGGTGAGCCTGTGGTTGTCTTTCTTGCCCCCTTTTCTACCCAACACCCAACATTTTCTATCTCCTTCCTGTCACTGTTCTAGGGGAAAGCTGGGCTACATGCCCTCTTTCCTCCCTCGCTAGTAAGACTCCCAGGTGCTTGGCCGGCGCCCAAGGCCCCTGTGAACTCGACAGCACCTGCTGCCGACACTTGGCGGCTGCTGCCTCTGGAACTCAACGGACATTACCAAGCACCACAGGAGCCGAGAATCACGCAGGTGCTGGGAACTAAGCGATGAGCCAAATAGCCAGCCCTCAGGCCCTGAGAGGAGAGAGAAATAGCAAGCAAAAATGTTACTGTGACCAACAGTGCTAAGTGCTAGCTCCCTACACGAGGGGGAGGACAAGGGGTCAGGAGAGGCTGGGGAGGGTCTCAGAGCAGGCCCACAGTCTCGACTCAGATCAGTGAGCATCTGTATCTGAACACTTTTAAGCACTCTCAAATATCCCCGCCAAGTTATCCTAAAACACAAAGAGTTTTTAGTAGAATGCAGATAATCCTGTATAATAAAAGCCTAGGTGGTGTCAGACAATGTCGTCACAAGATGGCTGCCGCAACATCATTACAAGATGGCTGCCATGATGTCATCACAAGATAGCCACCCACACCATCACAAGATGGCTGCCACAAGATGCCTGCCGCATGTCATCACAAGATAGCCACCCCACATCGTCACAAGATGGCTGCCACAAGATGCCTGCCCCATGTCATTACAAGATGGCCATCCCACATCATCACAAGATGGACACCACAAGATGGCCAGCAGAGGAGGGCAGTAGTGGGCAATCAGGCCGGCAGGGGAGAGCAGTTGGGGGAGATCCGGTTGTCAGTGGAGCAGTTAGGCATCAATCAGGCAGGCAGGGGATCGATTAGGGGGCAATCAGGCAGGCAGGGAGGCAGACAGGCAGGAGACAGGCAGGCAAGTGGTTAGGAGCCAGCAGTCCTGGATTGTGAGAGGGATGTCTGACTGCTGGTTTAGGCAGTTGGGGGTGACCAGGCTGGCAGGTGAGGACAGTCTAACAGCCCAGTATCCCCCAAGAGGTCCCAGACTGGAAAGAGTGCAGGCCGGGCTGAGGGACACTCCACCCCCCCCACCCCTGTGCACAAATTTCATGCACTGGGCCTCTAGTTATTTATATGTTTTTAAATCTAACTTCAAAGTGTTCTGCCCTACCTTACATAAACCAATGAAATCCCACTGGTATAAAAGACAGTTAATCAATTTTAGAAAACTATAAAAACACATTATTTTCTTAGGTGGCTCTCTGACCATCAAAACAATATAATAGGGGGTGGCTAGAAACATATCTTTATTGTTGAGCAGAAAGCATGACACTTCTTAAGACACTTTATGAGGACAGGACAACTCTGAATCATTACTGTAAGGAAAACAAGTTAAGTCACTGAGAAAAGCAGAGTGGTGGGAGGAAGGAGGGGGAAATGACAAGATACCATTCCAAAACCAAATAGCTTCCTTTTTATTAACGCTCAAGAAGTGAATTTTGACATCAATAAGCAAAACAAATAAAAACATCAAATTTGTTATTAATAGCATCTACAAACATACACATTACATGGATTTAATAATCCTAATCTAAATATGAGAATTATTCTGATCTCAAAATGCAACACTGAATTGTGTTGCATTACTTACAGTGTTTTATAGTCAACAGGAAGAATTATAGACCCCAAGTTCAATATAATCAGGGATTTCATGTCAAGGTATAAATAGAGTCTTTAAGAAATAAGCTATATAATAAAATAAGTTTACTTTTGAATATCAGTACAGTCATTTTCTTCAGTCAATAAAAATATTCCTTGGTTATAAAGCAGCCTTATTTTGCACATGTATTTCAGGAAAATAGCTCTAACAATATTTGAAATGCCACACTTCTTTTTAAAAAGGTGGCAAAGCAACAGAATTCTGATTTTTAAATGGTATATTGCAAAATAGTTCAACCTAGTATTTCTAAGCTCCATTCCGAAGGAGGATTTTAATTTTATAAAGCAAACTGTTCCGATGGTTCTGTTGTAGATTAAGGTCTAAATATCTGCAAATAGGGATCAATCATTACACATACAGGACCATAAACTTCAATACGTATCCACAACACATATGTTTTGCATTATCACCTCACTCTGTTATCAAGAGCACTTTGTCAACACGAGCTCCACAAAAAAATAAAACCATGAGGACTCAGCCCTGCGGCTGTAACAGAATGGCTTGCAACAAATGAAAATACAAAACAGCAACAAGAGCGAACACCAGATTTATGAATAAAACACACACACACACACAAAATGAGAAATCATGACATTTAAATGATTAACTATTACATTCTTCCTAACACATCTTAATTTGCTCTCTTCTCTTCAATATAATTTTTTAAAGTTTTTCTTACCCCCAGGAGGAAAAGATGGCAAAGATGAAAGTGCATCATATTGTAAAAGTGCTTCGTGTATGTGTGTGTGTGTGTGTGTTTGTGTGTTTGAGAGATCTGTCCAATAAGGAAGTTAAATAAGTATGTGCAAAAGTCCTCATTATGACTTGAACTCATAGACCTAACCATCATTTTTATAATTCATCCAGATGAGTTAGGCACCGATGCAGAAGAGAAAGCTGAGAGTGTCCGCTCTGTATAGAGGAGAGAGCCTGAGCCACGTTCAGAAGACCCACTCCCTCCTCAGGCCTTAGCCATCCAGTGGCCGAGAGTGAGAAACCCGCTCAGACGCCGTGTCTGTGCTGGCAATGGACGCCAGGCTGAGCTCAGGCGCCTCCAAGGCCCCGTCCAACTCCGAAGCCCTAACCCAGCTTTCCATGAGGCCCTCCTGAAAGGGCAAATAACTTCGCCCCAAACATGAAAAATACACTAATCACAGAGCTTCTTATTGCACGACTAGTGAGGACCGGAAGGAAACCCCCAAAATACTTGACAGGAAAAGGCCCTACGACATCAGATGTCACCAAAGCTGGGCAAGCCCGCGGGCAGGAAACGCCCAGCGCTGCGCACAGGTGAGACGTGGGCAGCAGCGGCGGGCCAGCCGCAGGCACCTTTACCCACGTCTCGGAACGGTCTTGAGCTTCAAAAGCTTTTAAAGACGCTTCTTTCCAAACTGTTCTGGGGGGACACGACCCCCGCAGTTCACAGTGCTAGCTTTTCAAGGGCGTCTCTCTGGATTGTTGTGCGGTTTTTAGGAAGATGGCCATATTTTCAAATTTTAAATAGTGGCTAATTAAAGTCGACATTTGCCACCGACTATGTCTTACATACACACACACACAAACACACACACACACACACACGCACGCACGCACGCACGCACACACGCTCACACGCTCGCTCACCGGCCGCCCGGCGGTAACTAGCAGCTCTCCTCCACGAGCTTGGAGCCGTTTATTCCGCGGTAGGTCACGCGGCTGGGCCGCACCAGGACGCCGTGGTTGGGCTTGCAGGTGAAGTAGCGCGTGTCGCCCACGGCGCCGTCGTTCCTGCCCTTGGCGCTGCGCAGCTCCAGCCCCAGCCAGATGCCCAGCGCGAAGTCGGTGGGGCCCACGTAGCGCACGGTGCCCATCTCGTTGGAGCTGGTGAGCAGCACCTGGGCGCCCTCGTGCAGCCGCGCGCCCTCCGCGCCCGGGCCCGAGCCGCTCCAGCTGCGGCGCAGGGCGGCCTTGGATCTGTCCGCGGGGGGAAAAGGGAGAACAAGGCTGAGGGCCAAGGCCAGGTGGTGCCACTTACCGTCCTCGTTTCCCCAGCGGGTCACGGCTCAGTCACAGGAGCGAGCACTGTGTGTTCACAGCTTGAGTTGTTTAGTCTAAAACAGCAGAATACACTTTTGACATTTTGAAAGGTTTCCCTTTTGACTATTTTAATACTCTTCTAATCTGGATTTAAGAGAGAGAGAGGGAGAGAGGAAGAGTGTCCTGGCTGGTGGGCTCAGTGGCTGAGCATAATCTCCTGCACTAAAAGGTCACTGGTTCAATTCCAGGTCAAGGCACATGCCTAGGTTGTGGGTTTGGTCCTGGTCAGGGTGCATATGGGAGGCAACCAATCGATGTTTCTCACATCTGTTTGTTTCTCTCTCCCTCTCCGTGCCTCTCTCTCTAAAAATCAACAAAACATGTTTTTAAAAATATACACACACGTGCATACAACACACACACACCCAGTCCTTCTAGACAGCATCTCACAGGACCTCCCCGAGCCTCAGGACCCGCCCGGGCTCTCAGTGACATATCAGCCTCCCCATGTTGTCGCCAGGTTATTCCATAGATGCCTGTCTGTGGCTCAGCAGCTGGCCACAGCCCTGAGCTTGGGCTCTCGTTTCTAGTAGCTTCTAGGGACCCAGGACTTAAGCGAGGCTATGTACTATCCTATTCAGGAACAACCCCCCCCCCCCGCCCCCTGCCCCCAGCATTGTTCAAAGATTCACGGGAAGGAATTAAGATTAAAAAAGAACTCCTTAACCCAGACCATCTAGAAGAGCCTCCCATTTCTCTAAGAGTAAAATCGTTTCTAAAAGTCTCAGAAAACTATTAGGGAAGTAAAGTGGGTGTGGGTAAATAAATGTAAATGAAAAAGAGAAAAAGAGATTCTCTCTAGATGTGCACACATATATCTTAATTTTTTAAAAATGGAAAAAAAGAAGAAAAAAAAAAAAAAGAAAGAAAGAAAAGAAACAAACCAATAGACAAAATGCATTGTGACCAGTATAGTCCCAAGGGAGAGTGGGAGTGTTTTTTTTGTTTTTGTTTTTTGTTTTTTACTGGTAAGATTACCTTATGCAAACAGGCCTGGCATGGCTTTCTTACACTGCTGAAAACAGTAAATCAACTCTTTAATTAAGCAGCATTTTTTTTAAATCAGTCCCCCCCCCCCTATTCAGTGATAACACAAATGTAAATTCCTGCGACCTTTATTGAGGAACTAAACCAATTTGAAAATATATGCAGGTGGCTCTCAGTCCGGCGACGTGTGTACCAGCTCCTCTCAGTGCCCATCCCGCGCTTCCCTGACAATGCGATCCGACCCGCCCGGTGAGAGGTACAAAACCCCTGTTTTGTCCTCCGCAGACTCCTGCCCTGCTCCTCTCCAACGGTGTGTTTCTAAGTCTTCTCCATACTCACTTGGCAAAAGCGTTTCTCCGGTTAATCTCTTTCTGGGAAGAAGCCGAAGTGGTACTGAAGCTTCTCCTAAAACCTAAACATGCAGGTTAAGGTCAGAGGAGGGAAAACACCGCCGTGCGCAGCCCTTATGAAAAGTTATCTTTTATCATCCCTCCCACAGATGTCCTGCCAGTTCCAATGTTCCTTTGGAAAGAGGAAGCATGGAACATAAGTGCATCCAGAATATAGACGTAGTTCAGATTTCACAACAAATTTGAATCTGACCTTTCTCACACAGAGTGCATGTACGTGAGCAAGTTATGATCATGACACTACATTCGGAAGTTTTTATTAGAAAGGTTATTATACTGAAGTATATATTGATAAAGCTGAATCGTTTTTTTCTCAAATATTAATCTGGATAAATCATATTTAAAAAGACAAAAAGGTTTAAAAACACTATCACTAAATATATCCAATTTATTAAATAATAAAATTTCAGAGCTGATGACTGCTGCCATCCCTAAATGATAGCGTAATCTAAAAAGAAAAAAAAAGATTTCACAAAAGGTAAAATTCTAAAATGATGTTTTTAAAAAGAAGGGACTTCCAGCTCTGGCAGTTAGTGCAGACCCAATGAATGAAGCTCTGGACTAAAGTGAGTATCATTTTAAATAACTATGAGGCACTTAATGCTGTTGAACTAACACGAAAGGCCCAATTTCAATGAGGCCAAAACCTAAAAAGAGAAACCAGGAGAGGTAACCAAGCACCAAAGCCATCTACCATCTCGAACCACAGGTGCCTCTGACTTCTGGGGAACCAGCCACCACCTCACTGCCTGCCCAACACAGGACACAGGGGCACAGGGACACAGGGGCAGCCAGCCAGCCGCTGCCAGCAGGGGGACTCTCTCAAGACTCCTGGTTCAAGTGAGGGTCCCAAGCCACTCCCCTCAGTGTAAGGTTAGCAAGAAACAAAACAAAACACCATTTGGACAACAAAGGTCAACCTAAATGCTCAAAACGCAACATTTCCTCCCTCAGAACTTAGGGTCATGTGTGCAGTTCATTTTGTCTGTGTGACATTTTGAAAGCTGCAGGTGCTATAGATTAGAACAGCCCCAGGCTGGGCAGTGCCTCGAGACAACAGGCGGAAGTAAATATAGTCTCTGGAGGCATCAACCGAGGCCTCACAAATACCTATCCACTAGATCCGAGTAAAAGGAGAATCTCACAATAATGAACCACAAAACCAACCGCACAAAGGCACCATACGTTGGGCTAGACAGAAACAGACAGCAGACTCAGATTCACAAAGGCGTCAACTATTGAATGATTTGACATAAAATAAGAGATAACATTGAAAATATTCAAAGACATATAAGAAAACTTGAGAATGGGGAAAGAATAAATGACAATAAGTAACCACCAAACAGATTTACCAAAAAAAAAGAAAACTTTATAATTAAAAACTGTGTGGTTAGATTACGCAACAGAATAAACATCGCTCAAGAAAGAACCAGGAAATGAAAAGATGGACGTGAAGATAACAGATGCCGTCCAGGGAGACAAAATTGTGAAAAAGCAGAAAGAAGCATGGGAAGGTAAGAAAGGCTACAGCTCGTCTGAGTTTCAGAGATAGATAATGAAGAGAATGAAGGAGAAAATATCCTAAGTCTATGGACAAGAATTTTTACAGTACTGATCAGATACTAGTTGCCAGATCCAGAAAGATCCATTATTCCAAATAGGATAAACAAGAGAAATCCGCACCTACACACATCAGGGTGAAGCTGTGCAACACGAAGCAAACCGAGATCTAGAAAAGCAATCAGAAAGAAAAGACAAACCACCCACAACCAAGTGGACCGGACAGGCTCGGAGCTTGCTTATCAAAAAACTCACAAGGCAGAAAGCTGTAGAATCATACTGCCAATGTGCAGGGAGAAAATACCTTTCAAACTAAAATGGTCACCGAGTTTCTGTTTTACCCAGTAGAACTATCATTAGAAAAAACAAGAACTTGGTACAGACCTCTTTCTAAAAGGACTTTTAAAGAACATACATGAGGTAGAAATAAAACAATCCCAGGTGGATGTTTTGAGGACAAATGGCAAGGGCTGTTTGTAAATATGTGAGCAAATTAAATAAGCAATGATTACATATAAACACTATTATAATGATGGAAAAATTGTAGGGAAAATAAAATAGAAACTGTATAACTCAGTTTTAAAACTTTTCTATTATTTGGAAAGAGTAAACATAAAGATTATGTTTCTCTCTCTCCCTTCCTCTCTCTCTGAAATCATTAAAAAGTAGAAATAATAAAGAAACCAGCCCTGGCAGAGGTGGCTCAGGTAGTTGAGCTGAGTCCATGGACTGAAAATTTTGCAGCTGATTCCTGGTCAGGGCACATACTCAGGTTGGGGGTTCGATCCTCAACCAGGGAGGGATATGGGAAGCAGCTGATTGATGGTTCTCTCTCACATTGATGTTTCTCTCTCTCCCTCTTTCTCTAAAATCAATAGAAATATATTTTTTTAAAAAATATCAGACAAGCAATCAGAAAGAAAGGATAAATAAGGTAGAAACTGAATAACTCCATTTCTATTTTATTGAGGACTAAAAAAAAAAGGAGTTAGGGGAAAAACAAGGAATTCTGTCATACAGATAATCATCTTCAGCTTGGGGGCAGGTAACAGATCTGATTATGGTTATATAAACTATACAAATACACTTTACACACTTTTTGTATACATATATACTTCACAATAAAATGCTTCAATAAATAAAAGCAAAGGAATAGTTATTAGGATTATAAACCGTAATCTTACCAGGATAAGAATGATTCTGTTTATTAGAAGAAATTTCTGAAAGTGTATCCAGGGAATCTGTTACTCTGTAAATAAAACAAGTAATGCAAACCTTATTAGAAGTTGCTGGTCCTCAGATTTAAGATTGGCTCTTAACCGTCTGAGGTTTCACACTAATGGTTTTCTCATTTCACTCATTCAACAAACATTTATTGAGCGCCTATTATGAGCCAGGATGAACTTCAGTCTAGCTTCAGGAACAGATAATAATCAAACAGAAGAGATCTTTGTTATCTACCAATAATTTGTATGGAAAAAATCAACTTAAAGTGAGTTCACTTAAGATAGGGCCCTGACTTTAGTACTTTGCAACTTTATCTTCAAGGATGAAACTGAAAACTATGAAGATAAATTTATTTTATGTTAAATTTAACAAATGTTATAGTTATAAAAATATCACATTCTTTTTTTCTTAATCCTCATCCCAGTATATTTTTCCTTTTTTTTTTTTTTAATAGAGAGTAGAAGGAAGAGAGAGAGCGACATCAATGTGAGAGAGACACATAGATTGGTTACCTCCTACACACACTCCAACCAAGGCCAAGGATCAAGTCTATAACCAAGGTACATGCCCTTGACCAGAATCGAACCTGTGTCCCTTTGTGTGTGAGCCACCGACACTATCCACTAAGCCAAACTGGCTAGGGCATCGCAGTCTTAAATTTAAGAAAGATATAAGCTGAGTCTGTATATGTGTGATTTTTCTGATAAAATCATATGGCTCAAACAACTCAACATTTTTTTTACTTTATATTTGACTCTAAGCATAAACATAAAGGTCACTTTCCTGACAGGTTTGTCTTTATTTTTTAACTAGAAGCCGAATGCATGAAATTCGTGGCCCCGCCCCTCACCCACTGGTCATTCCAGAAGGTCATCGGCCGTCCGGTCTAATTAGCATATTAGCTCTTCATTGTATAGGAAGATATTCAAATCATTACTTTTAAAAGGCCAATCCTAACAGTCTTATTTTCTTTCAATTGTTTGCTGACCTAAATCTGCAAAGCCTTTGCTGTCAACCACTTCCTCCAGCACACTGCTGCCATCAAGAAATCCTTGCAATATTTGGAATTTCATCCTGCAACTTATATGCATCTTTTTTACATGATCTTCATCATACAGCAATCAATAACAGGCTCACGAACACAGAAAATATGACTTGATGAAAAGACAGATACTTGAATTAAGTGGTGATGGATAGTTGAGAACTTAATTCTAAAAGTGATTAGTTAATTCGTAATAAGGATCTATTAGTGAGAACTAAAAATAAAAAAAAATTAATACTATACTGATGCCCACTTGGGTAAAAAGATGGCTGGATACTAGTAGATAGATAGATAGATTCTTAGAATTTCTCTAAAGAAATGTTGGTTGATGGATAAGTTAATGGATGGAAGGTATAAACTAGATGACAGCTGGGTGAAAGAAAGCCTCCACGCAGAGGAAATAACATGTGCAAAGATGCTGGACAAGAGGCACGTTTTTTACATAGAAAAGTGGGGTACGGGGGTATGGGGGGGAAGGAAGGCCAGCCACAATCTGGGAGAAGCCCTGTGCCACTACTTTATTAAGACTGCTCTCACGCAGCCCCTAGTTTTCAATTCTTCTTTCTTCACCCCAATAAATTCAGTAAAAGGGATTAAACATTCTTCCTTATGGAAGATCAGTGGCATCTTTAGAGAGCTCCGAAGCTGGTTTAAATGAGAAGCTCCTCACAATCAGGGACCATGTCTGTTTTATTTGCTTACAGAATGCCTAGCGCAGCACAAAGTGCTAAAAGACACTTAATAGTATTTGATGGGGATGAATGAGACAATCAGAGGATGACAGGAAGACAGCTGGATCGAGACAGCGGTTCCTTTAGAGAGAGAGAGCCCCGTTTCTTTTAAGAGGGGCTGCTTTTAAATGAATCACCTTAAAGAAAATGAAATAGAAGGCGAGGGGGGGGGGAACAAATTGGAAAACACGTGTTCCATTACCAAAGCAAGAAGAGGATGAGACCACGTCAAAGAAAGCAGCTTCATAATCCCACAGGGAGGAAAGGTTGTTACAGCGTAAAAACACTGCGCTCGGCGTGATGGATACTTGCATGCCTAACAGTGAGCCACCCTACGTTCTCTGGGTAATCACACGTGAAATTAACAACCCCTGTCCTCCTGACTGGGAGACAAATTAAACTTGTAGGAGACTGGTAGCAATGTGGTAATGAAGTTTTTCCAAAGTAATATGAGAACCCAGAAGACTGGCCCGTTCCACTTGGATTTTACTCCCAAGTCAATCACTTATAAGATACGGGCCCTGAAGAGAGCCACTGGGCCTCTTTTAACCATTACTAGACTGCATGAGCTCAAACCCCCCCTTGACCTCTCTGTGCTTACTTTCCTCATCTGTGAAGGAGGCATAACCGAAATGCCTGGCCCGCAGGGCTGCTGCTGCGGTATGTGCCGAGCGCCTAAAACAGTGCCGGCTGATAGTGCGGCAGACGGACATGCTCAGCCTCTCCAACGCCGTCCTGTTCAGCTGTGTTCTTACACACAGACATGCAATCATTGGAGGAATTCTGCTGGTGGCTTGATATTAAAAAAAAAAAAAAAAAAACAGCCCCTTCCAGCCATGAAGACAGAAGAGAAACAGTCCAGAGATGAAAGATGCTGACGTCACTTTGGCAAACTAGCAGTCAGCAGCTGTGCGTCACTGCAGGTTGCCCAGGACCAAATCAGAGAGGGTCGGACCTGCATTACCACCATTTGTCCGCCATCCAGAACTGAAATATCATTGCTGACATGTACACATAAGGAACTGTTTGACATTGAAATTGGGTCTCAAAAGAACTGTTGGCCCAGAAAGAAGCTCACTACAGACTGACTCATATGCCTTTCAGCATAACGATTATTGCTTGTCTCGTTTTCCAGTAGCACATGATCTCACTCATCTGGGGGAAATTATGAACAACATAGACTGATGAACAAGAGCAGACCCAGAGAGAAGGAGGCATGGATCAGACTTTTGGACCTGAAAGGGAAGGTAGGGGAGGGTGGGGATAAAGGGGAGAGATCAATCAAAGGACTTGTGTGCATATATATGAGCCTGACCAGTGGTCAAGGACAACAGGGGGTGGGGGCATTCATGGGGAGGGGTGTGGGATGGGAATGGGGAATGGGGGTGATGACAAATATGTGATACCTTAATCAATAAAGAAATTTAAACAAACAAAAAAAAAAAAAAAAACAGCCCCTTGCTAGGAAGTGCCTCTCCGGAGGGGATGGGGAAGGTGTGTACAACAATAATGATTGCTTATCAAAGATGTGCAGGAGAGATGACATGATACTGTACATAAAAAACCCAAAAGACTCCATTAAAAAACTAATTGACTTAATAAATGAATTTGGCAATGTAGCAGGATACAAAATTAATGCCAAGAAATCCACGGCATTTCTATACACCAACAGCGAAACTATAGAAATAGAGATTAAAAAAGCAATTCCATTTACCATCGCACCAAAAAAATTAAGGTACCTAGGAATAAATTTAACTAAGGAAGTAAAGGACCTATATGCAGAAAACTACATGACACTGAAAAAAGAGATAGAGGAAGATGTAAAGAGATGGAAGAATATACCATGTTCATGGATCGGTAGAATCAACATCATCAAAATGTCCATACTTCCTAAAGCAATCTATAGGTTCAATGCACTCCCCATTAAAATACCAACGGCATATTTCACCGACCTAGAAAGAACTCTCCAAAAGTTCATTTGGAACAATAAAAGACCCCGAATAGCCACAGCAATCCTGAGAAAGAAGGGTAAAGTAGGAGGGATCTCAATACCAGACTTCAAACTGTATTACAAAGCCACTGTTCTCAAAACAGCCTGGTACTGGCACAAGAACAGACATATAGATCAATGGAATAGAATCGAGAACCCAGATATCAACCCAAATCACTATGCTCAATTAATATTTGACAAAGGAGGCACGAATATACAATGGAGTCAAGACAGTTTCTTCAATAAATGGTGTTGGGAAAATTGGGTAGACACATGCAAAAGAATGAAACTAGATCACCAACTTACACCATACACAAAAATAAACTCAAAATGGATACAGGACTTAAACATCAGACGGGAAACCATAAAAATACTAGAAGCATCCGCAGGCAGCAAAATCTCAGACGTATGCCAAAAGAACTTCTTCACTGATACTGCCCCTAGGGCAATGGAAGCTAAAGAGAAAATAAACAAATGGGACTACATCAAAATAAAAAGTTTTTTTACAGCAAAAGAAACCATCAACAAAACAACAAGAAAGCCCACGGTATGGGAGAATATATTTGCAAATAATACCACAGATAAAGGTTTAATCTCCAACATCTACAGACAGCTGATACAACTAAATAAAAGGAAGATGAATGATCCAATTAAAAAATGGGCAATGGACCTAAATAGAATATTTACAAAAGAAGACAGAAAGAAGGCCAAAAGGCACATGAAAACATGCTCAAAGTCACTAATTATCCGAGAGATGCAAATCAAAACAACAATGCGGTACCATCTCACACCTGTCAGAATGGCCAACATCAACAAATCAACAAACGACAAGTGTTGGCGAGGTTGCGGAGAAAAAGGAACCCTCGTGCACTGCTGGTGGGAATGCAGACTGGTGCAACCACTGTGGAGAACAGTGTGGAGTTTCCTCAAAAAACTGAGAATGGAACTCCCATTTGACCCAGTAATCCCACTTCTTGGAATATATCCCAAGAAACTAGAAACACCAATCAGAAAGGATATATGCACCCCTATGTTCATAGCAGCACAATCTACAATAGCCAGAATCTGGAAACAGCCGAGGTGCCCGTCAGCTGATGATTGGATCCAAAAACTTTGGTACATCTACACAATGGAATACTATGCTGCCATAAAAAAGAAGGAATTCTCATCATTTGCAGCAACCTGGATGGAATTGGAGAACATCATGCTGAGTGAAATAAGCCAATCAATGAAAGAGAAACACCACATGACCCCACTCATTTGTGGATAATAAAGATCATTATAAACTGATGAACCAAAAGATAGATATAGAGACAGTAAAGCAACAAGCAGATTGTCAAATTACAACGGGGAGGGGAGGAGGGTCTGGGGGAGACAATAAATCAACCCAAGGACTTGTATACCTGCATATAAGTACAACCAATGGACATAAAACTCTGGGGAGGGAGGGGATACATGGGAGGGAAGGAGGGGGGCAAAAAAAAAAATCAATAAAATATGTAAAATAAAAAAATAAATAAAAAAAAATAAATAAAAAAAAAAAAAATAAAAAAAAAATAAAAATAAAAAAAATAAAAAAAAAAAAAAAAGATGTGCAGGAGCCTCCCGAAAGGATGCAAATCAACTGGGGTCAATGGACTGAGAACGAAGAGGTTTCAGGTCTTCCTGGGACTCCTGCGGGTGCCCAGACGTGTGCCGTCTGTGCGGCTCTTGTCCATCCCCTCTCGCCCCTCCCACTTCCCCTTCTCTTGACATAAAAGAAGCCTGAATTCTGCACTTTCTTGGGATGGATTTGAGGACTCCCATCTCCTCAGTTGTTGACTTCTCTATCAATAAACCTTTTCTTGCTCCAAACTCTGATGTTTTGCGTTTTGGCCTTTCAAAATGTCAGGCACACAGACCTTGGACCAGTAACATTAATGTTAATCATTAGCTATGACTTCTTTTTCTTCATCATGAAATGACTACCAAAAAAAAAAACCAGCAACCTTTCTAAAAGCGAGGTTTTTGAAAACAACAAAAAAATAGCAGACCTGGGCTGGAGCCTATGTGCCCTTCACTAAAGGAGATCAGAAAGAAACATACACATACACACACACACACACACACACACACAGGCCCGCATACACACAGCCCATTCTGAGCTGAAGATCCAGGAGAATCAACATATGACGGGGAAAACTTTCTCTGGATGCTGCAAAAAATGGGTCCTCAAACTCAGAACTCAGTTGTTGTAAACCTCCGAGCAGGAGTTTCACCGAGCAGAGAGGACCAACTCAGCCACGAGAGGAGCCTAGAGTTGACACCACACCCAGACAGAGATAGTCACAAACCCTTCTACCTCCTGTCTGTTTTCCTAATTGCCCACTCACCTTTCCTAACAACCATCTGCTCCCCCATGAGCAGCCTTCCCTGCCTCCTCCCCTATTAAGATGCTCTATAATGCTCCAACCTCACCACTCCTTTGGGTATCATTTCTTCCTGTGATATCCATGCATGTAAAAATAAAAGTTAATGAACTGATAATGTCTTTTCTCCTGTTAATCCAGCTGCTGTCGGTTTAATTCACAGACCCCAACCCCAGTCCAGCTACTCATCCTGAGAGTGAAGGAAGTTTCTCCTCCCCTACACTAGCTGTGAGACTTTAGCTAAATTTCTTTATCTCTTCCACGTTTCTTCACTTGCAATATGGGAATGCTCATAATGAAGTGCACTGCACGGAGCCCACTGCTCATCAGATGCTCAGTAAATGTTTGGATTAGCTCCTGCAATTTCCCAACTCAGCTGACAAAAAGTTATTAGGGTCAAATAAAGCAACATTTAATTGAAGACACTTTATAAACTGGAAAGTTTATATTAAATGCTATAGTATCATAAATAGTAAGAAAATTATATCATTATATTGAGTACATCGTAGAAGAAAATTAATACAAAAATTATAAGTCATTAGAGTGAGAAAGCAAAAGGATATAAAACCTGTTAAATGTGCCAGGAGTTGGCCACACAGTCCGGCTGGACGTGAGCTGGAGGAGACTCCCACAGTGTGACTGCAGACCCATCTCATGAATGTGGTTCTACCATAGACATTATTTCCTGCTTAAGATTAGCATCCCACTTCCCAGCCACTGGAAAGCACGCCAAGCCAACCTCTTGCAGCACCTAAGTCATTCTACCGAGCGGCACCTGGAATTTCATGACGACTGATTTTCTGAAACCAGAGTGAGCCAGTACAAAGGTGCACTGTGCTAAGAGGAGCCACTGAGGAGGTATATTACACATAAATACTTGAAGCTTCGCTTCCCCCCGAAGATCTACTGCCTATCTATTTTTGAAAACTAAAGAAATCAGAGGAAAAGCCATTTTGGTCCCATTAGGTTTGCAGGAGGATGAATGGGGCGCCTGGAGCAATCAGAGAGCATTTTCACTTTTGTTTGCATGCCAGATTAGCTCGCTGCTCCCAGTGTTCACGGCAAACGCCACTTCTTATAGCCTGCACGTACTCATAGGGTTTGCAAATGAGGAATAAAGGAGGATTTTAAAATTGCAAATCCTCAGCAAAGCAAATTTAGCTTTCCATGAGCCTCTCTGAAAGCAGTGGCTGGTTAACCCCCTGAAAGAAGACAGGAGCGTAATCGGTGCGCAGCTTCAATATAAAATTAGGGGCTCTGACTATAAACCATGGCAAATGACAAGGCGTTCTTGTGAATAAACATGAACTCCATTCTTCCTCACCTTTGTACCCTGGAAGGGGGAGCAAATATTCCGTATCTTGGAGAACAGCTGAAATACTGCACGCCGCCGACGGAGCCGTCATTCTTGCCGTGTGGCTTCTCGAGCTCTATCCCGTACCACTGTCCTGGAAGGAGAACGGGCGCTTTAAGGGCATCTGCACTGGAGCCAAAGCGGCGATGCTGTTACCCAAACCCAAAGTCTGGATGGGTTCACAGCTTCACGAATGACCGAAATGAGGGATGATTGTCATGATCGTTCAGCTGTCAAAGGTTAAGATTGGAAAAGTTGAAAACGAACAGGGAAAACGTTTTACCAGCTTCACTGCAGAGTTGCACATTAAGAGAGAAAGCTAAAATGCACAAATTCTAATTTGGCAAGATTGGCTGTAATGCAAGTAATATGACCAGAACGTGTCTGAGAGCTGTGATGAGCCAGAGCTTGTCCTGGGCTGGGTGACATGGGCTGTGTCAGTACTGAGATGGATAAAAGAACCAGCAACCTCTTTTTTACTCCCGGTGTTAGAGTAAACCACAAACAGCTCCTCAATCATTACAGGAAGACACAAATCAAATGGAAAATATGACTAGACATCATGGTAACTCTTATTTTTCCCCACTCAGGGTGAAAAGAAATATTCTTTTTAATCTAAATGAAAAGATTTAGGTTATGTAGGAGGAAGGATTTTCAAAAAGGCTTTTGAATGTTTAAAGGGGTCTAATCTGAGGAAAGTCGTAGGATTTCCTTTTCTAGAGCCCAAAAAGGACAGTAGGGCAGTAAATATTAGATAAGTGGACAAATGCTCTGAATGATTCTCAAATTGAGGGTGACTCAGGCCAGTTAAAGTGCCAAAAAAAATCCCATTTTTTATTAAAAAGGATAATACAGTACTCATTATATTTGATCCCTTACAATCAGTATCAAATAAAAAAAAATGAGGATGTAGATATTAAGACACATATTGCAACTTATAAATTCCAAAATACAAAAATATTGTTTCCTTCCAATTACTAGTTCAAAGAGTCCAGTTATATAATGTCTAAAGAGACAACCTGGAAGTTCTTAGTATTTTTCCCTCTTGAGCTCATTTTCAAATATTGGAGTTTGGGTTGGAAAGATTGCATGACTATTTTGTAGTAAATAGTCCTACTGTGCACAAGTATAGAGCCATGGATACAAACCTACTGCATGGCCCTAAGTAACGCCCTAAAAGTAGGTCATCACATTTCGGAACGTCATTAGCCAGGCTCACCTGGTGGCCGCCGTTATTTCTCTGAGTACCAGAGTTAGAATTTTCCAAGTTTTACTTCCTTCTGCCGCTGATGTTTTCCTAAATAATTTGTTGCATTTTCCCTTTTTATTAGTGATATACCATGCAACTGCTACATGCTTACCATATAACTCTTGAGAATGTGTGACACACACACACAAAAAGGCATTATGACAAGTGTTATTAACAGCCACTACACATTGTCAGGTCGTGGTGAGGTACAGGAATCTTCCCATTTGAAAGACAATATTCTTTCAGAGGTGGCCCTTATACCAATGCTAAGGACACTAAACAAGACCCGTTCTGGGCTAGATCTTATCATTTATAAAATGCTGAGACAGGACCACTGCGCCACAGAACTGAATGACATAAGTTTTGATGCCACGAGAAATATATGCTACTACTTTCTTTTTTTTTTTTATATATATTTTTACTGATTTTTCACAGAGAGGAAGAGAGAGGGATAGAGAGCTAGAAACGTCAATGAGAGAGAATCATCGACCAGCTGCCTCTTGCACACCCCCTACTGGGGATGTGCCCGCAACCAAGGTACATGCCCTTGACCGGAATCGAACCTGGGACCTTTCAGTCCGCAGACCGATGCTCTACCACTGAGCCAAACCAGTGCCGGCTATGCTACTACTTTCTAAAAGGTGGAATGACTTTAACAAAAAAGTGTCTAACCTTTATTATATTTGCTTATTACTCTCCAGATTTCTAAATGCTTCACATTAGGAATTTAAAAATTAAAAGTCAAACTAAACGATGAACCACGCCAGCGTTGTCTAACATAACCACAGAAAGGAAACTCAGAAGACACACTGCGACTGTGAAAAAACAACCTGCCTTTGGGATTCCTGAGTTTTGAAAACTGTATTAAGAACATCCTAACTATGCTCAATTACTACCTGGAGGCCTAAGAGAAACATGAATTATAAAGCACATGGCCCCTCTCAAATCAACTAGTTGGACTACAATTACAAGTGACGTTAATGAAGCAACAACATGTGTGCAGACAATGCTGCATCACGCACTCATATTTCTGTGTGTTCCATGGACAGAGGCACTGACTGGCTTATTTACAGAGAACAAGCTTGGAGGAGACAGAGTCGCGCCCCCCCCCCCCGGAGCGAATGACAGGCACGCTTACTATCTGGTGTAAAGGTGCAGGTGCCTTAAGCTCACAGCTCCTGTCCTGGAGCGTAAACCACTGGGCCTGCAGTGTCACCTGGCCCCCTAGCTCACCTTCAGGAACTGGAGCCCAGGGAACTATTGCAAAAAAAAAAAAAAAAAAAAAAAAGGTGACACTCTGGCTCCTGCTATTGTTGTGAGCATTGAAGTCCTCTGTCTCTGATCCAGGAGCCCCCAGTGTCTGCCTGCACCCAGGCAACCATGGCAATCTACCTGGTTAGCTTGCAAATAGGATGAAAGCTCAGACCCTTCACAGGCTGCTGCAGGCTTTTAAAAAAATCATTGTTCTGGGCAACCTGGTCCCTACAGGCAGCGATGCCACCATGTGTCAAAGCAGCACATTGCTACTTAGAACAGACGAACATGGTTTCACTCAAGTGGCTTCTACCTGAAATTTCAGTCACTGAAAATGCAAAAGGAAAATAACCTTTGCTTCTGGACTCAATAGAAGTCTGGGTGGGAATTAATACATAAACACAAACGTATTTCTAAGATCCCGGGGCATGCAAAAGCTTTGTCATTTTCCTGTCAACCTTGCTTGCTTTTCTCTGATAAAAGCTGTGCAGTGAACTCACCATCTACTCATTTTCAAGATTATCCTCAGCAAAAACCTAACGCTGACGTATCTTCTCTGTGGTTGAGCACACTCAGCATTCAGTGAGACTGGAGAGTGACAACCACTTCTAACACTGGGCCACTTAAAACACAATTGGCAAGATAATGTCTGCATTCTAATCACTGTTGTGCATTTCCTGCGCCACAGCTACCAATGGCTCCTCGGAAGTTCTCTGTAGTTGCATGTGACATGTTAAACCGTGTGCACTCTACAGAATTCGAGCTGAACGAAGCACGCACACACGCATTACCTGGAGCAAAGTTTGTCGTCCCGAAGAACCTGATGGTGCCGAGCCGCTGGCCAACCACCAGCACCCGGTCCCCCAGCTGGAGCTCCCCCGCAGGGCGGGCACTATTTCCTCCAGAACTTGCTGAAGAATTCAAACCTGTGTCATCGGTTGGTGGGGGAAAAGGGGTTAGGGCAGGAAAAGAGGGAAAAAAACAAAGGGCGGGAAAAAATAAGAAAACACATTAGCCAAAAAATCATTACGTTTTCTAACCAGTCCAGTAGGTTGAGATTTCGACATAGATAGTCCACAGCAGCGAGTGCCGACCTGTCCTTCTCCCGGCACCCATAAGCTAATGACTAAAATTCTGCGCATGCCAAAACATAATTTTTTGCCGATCTGACAAAAAAAATTGGATGCAATTTTGATTCCTTCACATCATTGTCATGTTGGCTGTTGTCATTTTTTATTTGACAAACTAAGGGAAAGAGGTCAGTGCCCTTTACTAAGTCACCAGGAATTGCATGTTTTGAAAGTTCTTGTGGCGCACCGGATGAAGATCGCCAATCTACACTTCTGTTTCTCCCAGGTGAGGTCAAGCTACTCAAGGAGACGTGAAGAGTTGCCTGAGAAAATTCTGGCCGTGGGAACTGAACACATACAATTCCTGATCAATCTGTCTGAACTGCCCGGTGGCACCCGCTCCGAGAACAGAGGTTAGCACTCTCTGTCAAGGGCTGGAGAGTAAGTGCCTTCGGCTTTGTCACAACGACTCCGCTCTGCTGTTGCAGCACAAAAGCTGACGTGGACAGAGTGGGCGTGGCATGCTCCAATAACACCTTATTTATAAACACTGGTGGCAGGTTGGATTTGGCCATGGGCTGTCATTGGCCAATTGTAAAATCCTACAATTAGAGTCTTTCACTGGGACTTGGTGTAAATGATACACATAGGAATGTGATTTGAGGTGAAATTGCTATAAGATTCCAGTGACCCCCATCTGATTTCCTTATTAGGAACAAAACCCCTCACGTGGACTCAAGCCTAAATCCTGAAATGCCCTGTTAAACATCAGAAGTCCTGGAGAATACTGCCCAGAGAGCTGTCCAATTATAACTGAGAAAAGGTGGACCTGGCGGCTTCTCCCACCCCCACAGCCGGGCAGAACAGCTGTTATCTGGGGAGACCTAGAGAACCCCACAGGAGGGTAGGGGGTAAAGGGTACGTCACCCTGTGAAAGGGGAGAAACTATGGCAACAAATAAACCAGGGAGGAGGAGGAGGAAGACCTGGATAAAGGGCAATGCTAAACAACCCGAGGCCCTCAAGTAACTAATATCTCATAGCACTTCACAGTCTCAGCATGTTTTTCATAAGAATTATAATCATAGGAAAGACACAGACTCAGAAATGAACTAAGACAGGGTGTTCACAGGAGCCAGGTGGCACACCTGGGTTAAACCCAGACTCTCAGGGTTCGGCTGGTTAAAATCACATCTGAGCCGGACATCATGGTCAACGTATTAGGAGAGCCTCTGACCCTTCCTACAAGGTTTTAAATAATGGGTAAAACTGGAGGAAGCATGCTTTTAAAATATGAAGATGACACAAAAGCATGCGCAGAAGCCAATATGCATGATGTGAGAAACAAAATTCTGAGGGTGAGAGCTCTCATATTAAATTACATGGAAACGTCCAGTCCTACAGGAGCAGTGACGTAAAGAGATTCCACAAGGCCCGTCTGAGCCAACAGCACAGTGAGGTCGCCCACACTGCGGCAGTGTAGACTCGCTTGTACTGAGGCAAGGGCTCAGCTCACTACCAGCTGCCTGGCGGGGACTGGGGACCCTGTGGCGTGGGGAAGAGCTGACGAGACCTAGGACGCAGATGGACTAAACAGCAGCAGAGAAAGCAGCAGTCAGACCTGGGGGTGAAGCCCGGGGGAGCCACTTACACACGGCTATGGCTTTCCTCCCTAAGCCTCCGTTTTCTCCTTCATGAAATGAGGTTAACATTGGTACCTATTCCATAGGTTTATTTTGAGAATTACATAAAATAAGGTATGTAAAGTGCCTAGAATAGTACCCAAAGTAGTAAGTATACAGTACATGTTAGTTATTATTTGGCTTATGTTGGGAAAGAGATAAGGAAGATAGCAAACCATACATTCCCAATTATCTGAGGGTGTGTCCCAGAGATCTATAATGAACCTTAAGGGGTGGGAGGCCTTAGACACATGGGGAATAGAAGTCAACCAGATGGGTGAAAGATGTGAGCAGAGGCTAGGCGAGGAGCTGAGAGTTGGGAAGGAGGCAGGGGCTGTGGGGACACAGGGAAGGGTGCGAGAGGTTCAATCTGATTGAAGTCAAGGGTTCCTTCTACACATTTAAAAAGAGCAAATCTACTTACAAACAGACCAAGATAAAAACCACCAAGAAAGCCTGGTTGAAAAAGCCATAGATACCAGCGCTGGCCCTCGATGGCTCAGACGGGCTTTTGCTCGTGGTCTGCTTGCCATTGCCACGTGCGTTCAGTTTCCTGGGGCGGCTCTGCTTGTGCTCCAAGGAAGATGCAGAGGACAAGCTGCTGATGGATCCAGGCAGGTGAACTGACACAGGGAAAGGAAAAGAACACGTCAAAGGGCGAGCACGGGAAGTGAGCCAATGAGACACTTCTCCAGGTAAATCCTCCTGAAACTCGCCATTTAGCTCTCCCAATTGTGGATTACCTGGTGCTGAATTACATGCCTGGTTTCATGCAGAGACAGCTGATGCATAAAAGACCTTATAACTCAAGCAGCTGTATTTTAAGGAATCAGAATGTATGATAACAATCTTATACAGGACCACGTTGTCACATCAGGAGACTTCAGCTGACTACCTATCACTCCCTCCGCCTCTCACTTTAGATGGACAGTACAATCCCATATTATTATGCAAACAACACTGCTAATATGTGTTAAGGTAACAAAGTTTAATATTTAAATGTGATGAATTAACCTGAAGGCACGCAGGAATACTCCTGAATTTTCTATTCTTGGTCTATTCAACCTGATGATTTGAAAGCTAAAGGCAACTTTTAAATCTTTTTATCAAGCCATTTACACTATGTAATGTCCTTTTGCTCTCAATATAGCTCTCTAATGTAAGTATGCAAGAGTGAACTTAGGCATTTTTGCACCTCGCAGGATTTTATATAAAAACATATACATACTTGAGTAATTGCTGCTTAGGGGATTTTTCAAGGATAAATGTTTACTATAATGATTTTTCTCTGAAAAACTTTAAAATTTAGCCCCATAGAAGTTATGTCACTAAATTTCTTTAAAGTGCCAGCAGGAGATGTCACTTTGAGGACAGAATCACAAAGTGTGTTACCATCTTTCTCTGTCACGGTTTTCAGTTCCTCACCAGCCGGCAGCGAAAGCGTTGATTCCGAAGTGCTGTCTCTTTTTGGTGGCATTAACCCTGGAACACAGCAGGAAGCACGCTCAGCAAGAAGAATTTTGCTTATCGTTACACATAAAAACAAACTTTCTTTTTCAGTACAGACAGCCCTTCCACCTAAATCTTATCCACTTCTGAAAACATGCTGGATAATAAATCCACAGACAGCAGGGGCCAATAATTCATTATTTAAAGGGAGAGAAAAAATTGCATTCATAGCCCATCTGAAAACCTGTTTCCCCAAATATCACTACAGTGTATTTTAAACGTACTTAATACTCCATTAAGGAATCTAAATAACAGAAAGTATTTACAGCACAGCTACTGGATTGTCAGACTCGCATGCACAAGGCTGGCCGGCAAAGCAAACAAATGCAGCTGAGCTGGGACAGTTGCACACTTGCTAGGACTTGCAAACGATTTACATCATTTCACAGGTATGAGCATCCAAGCTCATTATTTAGATGTTAAACTTCAGGAAAAAACAAATTTCACAAGTAATTACTCATTTAAGTGAGAGTCAGGTAGTAAAATATCCTGTATCCTTTGCCACTGGTATTTTGAAAATGACTACCCGACTCTCAATATACCCAACTCCCACAAAAAATTCACTAAAGAAAAAAAGCTCATGAATAACACTCTCCCTTATTAAGACTCCTGTTTCGATTCTACAGAACCAAATTATGTAAACAATAAACCTAGGGCACTGCACCAGTTTTCAATTCCACCGACATCCATTCCCGTTCCTCTCACACACAAAGCACTCTGGGTGGAGAGCGGTGCTTGGCACTGTGGCATCGCAAACATGAAGAAGACATGGTCTGAGCCCTACGGGAGACCTTTCCTTGTCAGTGAGGTAGGAAGACATGGAGATGAATAACTAAAATGGGAGGGCAATTTGATATAAGCACTAGCAGAAGAAAAGGGGACAATAATTGTGGCTACAAAGATAAATAAATGCCTCCACCAGATTGTGTGTTCAGAGGGGTCTTGAGGGGTGGGTCTGATTTCTTCTAGAGCAGTGCTTCCCAAAGTGTGGTATGCATACCTCCAGGGGTACGGGAAGAGTTTGGTGGGAGTAGGCGTTGCACCGGAGTTTGGTGGGGATATGCACTGCACCGTGCTTAGCTGCACCTAATTCTACGTTCTCGCGAGTACGAGGGGTACTCAGCATTACGAAAATTATAGAAGGGGTACACATATGTCAAAAGTTTGGGAAACACTGTTCTAGAAATACTGGAGGTGTGGTCAGAAAGAACTGGGGGTTAGGCATTCTGGAGGAACCAAATAAAGTCTTAAAGACAGAGTCAGATAAGGATGAGCAGTGTGGCTGGAATAAAGAGTTGTCTGGGGCAGGGGGACAAGTAAACTGGAGAGATTCAGTCAGAGTAAAATCTTAGAAGAGGCAGTGCTGGCTAAGGACTGGAACCCTTCGATAAGGTTTGGAGAGGAGGACTGGCAAGAACAGTTACAGGTGAGTGATGAGACCCTGACAGCACACTTGAGGCGGAAACTAGAGGAGAGATTGGACACAGAGACCAGTTAGAAGTTGTTACACAGGCCAGGAATGAGGCCAGAGCCGCAACAGCAGGAGCTGAATGGACAGGTGGGTAAGAGACTTTGTGAAACAACCCAGAGTGAATTTACTTTTCAGTTCTAAAATATCTGTTTGGTCCTTTCTTTATATTTTAATTTTTTGTTGAGATAAACCGGAGATTCACATGCAGTGGTAAGAAACAATACAGGGAGATCTTGTACACTTTGCCTAGGTTCCCCCAAAGATAGCATTTTACAAAACGTATTATAACATCACTAGAGGCCTGGTGCATGAAATTCATGCAAGGGACTCAGCCCTCGCAGCCCCAGCTTCATCTGGAAGGACGTCCGGAAGGATATCCAGTCTAATTAGCATATTATGCTTTTATTATTATAGAAGACTAGAGGCCCGATGCACAAAATTCGTGCGAGAGTAGGCCTTGGCAGCTCCAGCACCTGTCAGCTGCCTCAATCCTGGCTTTATCCAGAAAGTCATTCAGAAGGTTGTTTGGCTGTCCCGTCTAATTAGCATATTACACTTTTATTATTATACTAGAGGCCCGGTGCATTCAGAGGGAGGTGTGGGGATCTAGCAGTCCAGAAGCCCTCAGGAGATGTCTGACTGCTACGGAGGCAGGAAAAGCTCCTGCCACTGCCACTTCACTTGCCAGCCATGAGCCCAGCTTCTGGCTGAGTGGCACTCCCCCTGTGGGAGCACACTGACCACCAGGGGGCAGCTCCTGCATTGAGCATCTGCCCCCTGGTGATGAGTGTGCATCACAGTGACTTGTTGTTCTGCCATTTGGTCCTTTTATTATATAGGATTCTTAAAAATATATTTATTGATTTTTTTACAGAGAGGAAGGGAGAGGGACAGAGTTAGAAACATCAATGAGAAAGAAACAGCTGCCTCCTGCACACTCCCTACTGGGGATGTGCCCACAACCAAGATACATGCCCTTGACCGGAATCAAACCTGGGATCCTTCAGTCCGCAGGCCAACGCTCTATCCACTGAGCCAAACTATGCTTTTATTATTATAGATAACAGGAAAACTGACACTGATAAAATCCACTGATCTCAGATTACCCCCATTCTTCTGTGTGTGTGTGTATACATGCATCATTTGGTTCTTTTTGTATTTTCATTTTTGTACTGAAACTTTCCATTTGTTTAAAGAGTGTTTCCTTAATTCTAGGAGCACTGGTTATTATATTTCCTTAAACTCTATATCATCTCAGGACAGGCATCTTTTGATCATCCTTTGAGAGATATTGATATTTCCCTGATCATTCACATTTTGAGCAATTTTGGGTTGTATCCCATAGACTGTGAATATTATTGTAGAGGACTCTGGGTCCTGTTTAACTCCAATGGAGATGTTGTTTTGTTTTGTCTTGGCCAGAAGTCGACCCAGTTAGGTTCAGGCTGAAAGTTCCCCACCTTCTGTGACTGTGGTTCCAATATCAGTCTAGTTGCCAAAGCCCTTTTGCGATCCATCTCATGTGTTGTACCACCTAGCACCAGTGTGGGACCAGGCAGATCCGAGCATATCCAACCTGGGAGTAAACCCAAGACTTCACACCCAGCATGTTCAGGTCACTTTCTTGAGCTCCCTCCCATCCATGGTCTCCCTGATACTTTCCTACCCCGGGGGGGTGGGGAGGTACCCCTCCTGGTATTCTGGATACAATGTCTAGGTTTTAATTCCCAGCTCTGTCCTACAATCTCCTAAAGCAGATTCTGCCTTGGGGCAAGGTGTGAAAATAAAAGAAGGAAAACTAGTGGGGATTCCAGGCATGTTCTTGGGACCCCAGTTTCTCTGGTCAGAGGCAAGGGTTTTTAGAGGCCTGAAAAAGATTTTTAGAGGCGTGTTGCACCACATAGGGCTGCCCAGGGTGGAAGAGCCAAAGGGGGAAGGAAGCCTCAGGAAGATTTCCTCCACATTCTGTCTCCCAAACAGGAAGTGGAGGGCTTCTCTTTGAGCTTTCATTACCTGTCTGCTGGGAACTTTGGGGTTTGAGCTTAAAGGATTCCATTTACAATAGCTTCAAAAAGTATGAAGACCTAGAAATAGACCTAACAAAACAGGTACAAGACGTCTGTAGAGAAAGTTATAAAATCTGATTAAGATACTTCTGAAGGACCTAACTAAACAGATATCCCAAGCTCATCATTCAAAGACTGAATACTGTAAAGATGTCCATTCTACCCTGATTTGAAGTTTAAATGCAATACCCGTTAAGTCGTCAACAAATATATTTTAAATGAAACTTAACGGCTTTTCCTAAAATTTACACAGAAGTGTGATTTATAAGGGCACAAATAGGTAAGACACTAATTGAGGGTAGGAGGCTTTCTTCTACTGGATGCCAAGAAGTATTTTTTACAAAACTACAGCAATTAGGAAGTGTGGTGTTAAACAGGGATATTCAAAAAAAACCAACAGAACAGGTTGGAAAGGCCATCAAAGTTGCTGGACAGAATCCTTCGATCCCAGCAAAAAGCCTTTTCTGCATCGGGTCTGAATGAGTTAGCAGGTGTGCGTCGCATTCCTGTTTTGTGCAATGTGCTGCAGAGCATACCAAAAGGACAAAATGCCCTCACCATCCATTTAAAGTTCCAAATTTCACTGACAGAATAAAAGACCTGCCCAAGTACCGGAGTCAGAGGACAAAACCCAAAAGAACAAAGAACAGTCAGGTGGTGTGGATAAAAGTGTGGACCAGTTAGGGGGCGAAGAGATCAGAGAGATCTGGGGTCTCTGGGGAAGTTTTCATGGAGAAACAGGATCTGAAAAAGGAGGTACAGAACCACTGAGGCCTCAAAAGGCAGAAGTCAAATGACTGCGCTGGGGAGCTAGCCTGAGACCAAGCTCTCAGGGAGGAGGGAGAGCAACGTGCTGCCCGCTGCCCAGGGGGACAGTGAGATGCAGCAAACCATCCTCAACTCGGGAGCCATCTGACTCCATCAAACAGAGCGCTCTCGCTGCCAGGTCCAGGAGTCAGACCTGGTTTTTTTTTTCTGATAAAAAAAAAAAACACACAAGTGACTGAAACTCCTGAACAGGTGACAAACATAAAGCAACTATGAAAGATTTTTAGAGGTATAAACTCTAACTCTGATGTTAGATGAGGAGGATGGTAAGATTATAGAGATAGTAGGAAGGAAAGGAAGGAACAGATCTGAAATACTCTTATCAGGAATTAAAATCATAAACTATGACTGAGCTTTAAAAATACACTAAGATGCAGGTTTTATTAGATTCGAAGTTAGATAGCAAAGGGGGTGTGAAACAATCTACTTATGAGACATTCCACAAATAAAATTGAAATGCTGAAGGAGACATTTAACTTTCTGGTTGGACCTACCAGTATTCACTTTCGATGTTACATGAGCCACATCAATTTTCTGGGACCTGGTGAGAGGCACAGCTTTTGTAGAAGGAGAGTGTATTATATTCTTCCTTCGATCTTTTGCTTTACTTATCTTTGAAAGAGGTGCAAAAATGCCTAAGGGAGAATGTAGAATTTTGGTATTAAGCAATTTAAAAAAGCATTTCAAAACCAGTACAACTACTTAGTAATATCAATCTTCAAGTTCTTTTTTAGCACCCACTAGGTGTCCTGTAGTGACAGACAGAAAGACACAGTACATGCCCTCAAAGAGCTTACAACCTAGTTGTCAAGACAAACAACATACACAATAACTTGAGAATCCCATACAAGACACATAATCAGACATTAAGTGAAATATAAGGGAAAGAGAAAAGAGTAAAGGTCACAGTTTTCCATTACAATCATTTCTAAGATATTGACAAATAGCGCACTATATGATATAAAAACCACTCTTCTGTGTCACTTTATCGCTACCTCCTTTCAGACTCATATTTTCCCACATTAAAGCTTTTTATGTCCATGTTTTATCTCTCTTCAAGCCTGTACAGCTTTAGAAGACAAAATTCAGTATTGCTCATCTCTGCATTCCCCCCACTGTTCTGAATTACAGTGCCTTACACATACAGGAAAATAAAAAATCCTTTGAGTATAAAATATAACCTTTCCTAAACGCCTAGCCCTCGGCTCCTGCCAGTCAGAAACAATACAGTGTGTGCTGGGGAAGTAGGCATGCATGGACACAGAGAGGGAGTGCCAAATGCAATGGCTGGGAGCACAGAATTCCATTTAAAAATAAGTTTATCCAAAAAAAAAGTATACAGATCAGTAAGTATGTATAGACATCACATGGATATGGACTATAAATAACAAGATGATCTTGCTAAGACATTTTTATTTAAATAAATAAATAAAGTCCAGATATTTAAAAAGAAAATAAAGTCCTAATATGTATATTATACACTTCCATTGAGTGTTTATAATCTAACTGAAATCATGAGTAAAATGTAATATATTAGAACCAACTTATTTTAAAATTGTAGAAATGTTCAAGATTCTACAGAACGTGAGTGTTTTGTACTAGCTCACAAGTATAACAAGTGTCAGCAGTGATACTTTGCTGCTGATCTTGACTCTTTCTTCCCCCTGGACGCTACAATGCCGTACCCTGATTTTCCTACTTTTTTTATTTATCCACAATGTTTTGCTCTGTCTACCACCTACCCAATTTTCCTTGACTTTCTATTCTTTTCTTGGACAAACACGTACACACACACACACACACACTAGCCCTTGATGATGATCACATTCTATATTGCCACAAATTGGGGGGGGGGATTATTTTATATCTGGAAATATAAATGTATACAATGCTACTGAAGATGTGTGCCCAAAGATTTCAAAGTCACATTTGCATAATGTGAGGAGCAAATAGATTTCAAGAGCCAAAGCAATTTCTGGTTTACTTCTATAACCCATTTTGACTGGGCTCAGAACACAAAGCTGGCTTGGCAGGAAGATTACTCCCATTCTTTTGCATAACCCAACACATGATTCTTGCCCCCCAACTTGCCTTCAAGTTTGTAAAGGAAGACAGAGGCAAGGTTCTTGGGGGTATCCAGCTTTGTCCTAATCAAGCATGCCTCTCCTTTGGATGATGAGATCTTATATTATATTACAATATAAGCACTTCCCAGACATCTGATTTACATCTGCCATGTGTGTTGCTAATGGTTTTGATCTTGCCCTTGGTCTGCTTGACAGGTGCCAAAATTAGCTAATAGAGGAAAATTAAAATTAAATTCTTCATCTCTCACAACTAACCATATAAATTCCCAATTGTTTAAGTAATGTAGTTTAAAAAAATTAAAACATTCAAAAGAATAAAACTTAGAACTAATGATTATATTAGGAAGATCTAGCTAAGCTTAAGTGCAATATAAGAAATTGCACATAAAACTATATGTTCAAAAACACTGCAAATGAAGTTCAAAGGCAAATGACAAACTGAACAAGATACCTGTAAGAAATATAAGGGCTTCATATCCTAAATGTGTATTTGTATTTTTAAAAACTCTTACTGCTTTAAAAAAACAACACTAATATCCCAAAATGTTAATTGACAAATAATATGAATATATCTTTGTAACTGTCAAGATAAAATAAAAAATACATATTTTACCATGAAATATTTAAGGATTTTATTTCTCCACAATCAGAGAAATATGAATTCAGACAGAAATTTTCATCCATCAAATTAGAAAAAAAAGGAAGTGGAGACACAAAAATCACAATATTTAAAAATTTAGGGAAATTATATCTGCTGTCAAGTAAAAGTACAGAATATATAACTATATATAATCCAAATTTTGTTACAAAGTTGTTAAACAGAGAAAAATATAGTTGGTTTTCTTCTTTTTCCTTTTTTATGTTTTTAAAATCTTATACAATGATCATTTTTAAACAAAAAAAATTAGTAATGGACCAAGCAAATGAGGTTCCATCATAAGTGTATGACAGAAGGAAACTGGTCATTTGGATAAATTTGTAACAACTAGCAAATAGCTAACATTTTTTGAGTGCTTACAGGGAATCAAGCACTATGCTAGGGGCTTTATATATTCATCAACACATTTAATCCTCATAGTCCTTGTAGTATTGTTATCCCCATTTTATAAAATATAAATTGAGGCACAAGAAGAGAAAAAAGGTCACACAGTTGGTAGCTGGAGAAGCTGATTCATACCCATGCACTCAGACTCCAAAGCCCACACTCTTCAGCAATTTACCATATTGCCTCCCCGCCGGGCAATAAGATGAAATATGGTGCAGCCAGGGAAATGAATGTTCTAGAACAGTGGTCGGCAAACTCATTAGTCAACAGGGCCAAATATCAACAGTACGACGATTGAAATTTCTTTTGAGAGCCAAATTTTTTAAACTTAAACTTCTCCTAACACCACTTCTTCAAAATAGACTCGCCCAGGCCATGGCATTTTGTGGAAGAGCCACACTCAAAGGCCAAAGAGCCACATGTGACCACTATTCTAGAAGAATATTTCATGGCAAGGAAAAATATTCACAACATAATAGGCGTCAAATTGAAATCAATGTGTCAAGGGTACGTGTGCGCGTGCACGTGTGTGTGTGTGTGTGTGTGTGTGTGTGTGTGTGTGTGTGTTAGAGAAAGAGAATATGAATTTAATTAAACAATCATTTCTCAGAAAAAGAAATGTCCCAGCTAAGGAGTCTGGAAGTAAAGCTGGCCTCATTTGCTTTCAAATCTGTCAAGTTTCCAACCGCCAGGCTCTGTATTTCCTTGATAACAAAGTCCTCCGCTCAGTCATGATACCAGCACAAGCAGGCGTTTCAGAGGCCCGGGGACCTGGTGTTCTCCTGTGAGCACGCCTCCCAGTCCCTGAGCTGCTCTCGGCAGGAAAAATGCAGCCCCTTCGGTTATTAATAAGCAATGGGAGTGGGGGTGGGGAGACAGAGTTTTGTTTTCCGACCATAAAAGAATGAAATTTTGAGTATTTGAGCTTGATTATCATTATGTCAGATAGGCTCCTCCTTACCGTATTTGGGGGCACATTTAAAGTACTGGACTTTCCCAACACTTCCATTGTTTTTCCCTTCCGGTTCATCCAACTCAATGCCAGCCCACTGCCCACTTGCAAATTCAGTTGTTCCACAAAATCTTAATGTTCCAACCTGAAGAAAATGTAAATTAGAGTAAAATGTAAATTAGTGTATTTGTGATGGAAAGACTTGACATTTTTAAGATGTCACTTCTCTGCAGCCTGTTCTATGTTTAACATAACTCATTCGAAATCCCAGCAGGATTTTTTTTTTTACAAAAATCTATAAGCTGATTCTAAAATGTCCATGGAAAGGCAAAGGAACTAAAAAAAGAAAATATTGAAGATCTAAAAATATCCGATGGCAAGAATTGCTATAAAGCTACAGCAATCTGACAGAGTAGTTCTGAAGAAAGCACAGCCATTAGAGCAATGGAGCAAAATAGGACCCAGAAATATGCCCACACTTATACGGTCAATTGACATAGAAGTCAAGGCAATTTGAGAGAAAGAATAGACTTTTCAAAAATGGTGCTGGTCCAGAGACAGAGAAGCATTGATCAGATGGTCAAACCTCAGAGGGAAGGCAGGGGAGGGTGGGAGTAAAAGGGAGAGATCAACCAAAGGACTTGTATGCATGTATATAAGCCTAACCAATGGACAGACGCCAGGGGGGGTGAGGGCATGAGTGAATAAGGACACATATGTAATATCTTAATAAAGAAAAAATGGTGCTGAAACGGATGGATGGAGGGGAGAAAAACAAGAAAGAGAGAGTAGGGGAGAAGGTTAGAAAGGGAGGGGAGGGAAGAGAGAAGGATTTCTATCTACAACTAGTACTTTATACAAAAATTAACTCAAAACTAAATGTAATACTTAATATTATAAACTCCTATAAGAAAATATAGTAATTTATTAGATATACTAAGCCACAATCCATAAAGGAAAAGGTTGACAAAATGAACTTGATTAAAATTTAACATTTCTGCTCTTTGAAAGACACTCCTAAGAGAATGAAAAGCCAAGCAATCGGCTAAAAGAAAATAAAAATGTAAAGAAAATATACAAACATATTCTCAACCAAAAGTTAATAAAGAAATATTTTCTATAAATTTGACTTGGGATCCTTTTTCATTTTTTCCCCAAATGTTTTTCTTCTGGCTTGTTTTGACACCATGTGTGTTTTTCATGGGTGTCTTGCTGATAGCATTACAATTAATTTTCTAAAGTACAAATTTTCTAGATGTAATTTACTTTCAGGATATTTTTCCTTACATGATACTCTTCTACTTTCTCCCTTTTTTGATTTAAATATTAGGAGGCTTTTGAAATTTTTATAATATATTCTTGATAGCTCACTACAGACTGATTCATATGCCTTTCAGCTTAACGATTATTGCTTGTCTCATTTTTTATTCTTATAAGTATATTTCTAGTAGGACATGATTTCACTCATCTAGGGGAAATGGTGAACAACATAGACTGATGAACAAGAACAGACCCAGAGAGAAGGAGCCATGGGTCAGACTGTTGGACCTCAAAAGGAGGGTGGGGATAAAAGGGAGAGATCAACCAAAGGACTTATGTGCACACAGATGAGCCTAACCAGTGGTGAAGGAATGGGGGGGTTGAGGACAAATATGTGATACCTTAATCAATAAAGAAATTAATTTAAAATATATATATATAAAAAGACTGGAAACAAGAGGATAAAGTGAACCCAGCTGACTGGTATGTTCATTACTACGAAAGAAGCTGAATATTAATCCTAAGGTAAACCAATGTTCTGAATTCATAATTTCCTGGTACTTTAGCCCACAGATAGGACAACGAAAAGCTAACAAATGTCCTGTGACTATATTCCCTGGGAAGTCGGTAAGTGTCATTCTCAGTGTAACAGTCTGCAACTTTCCACCCTTTCTGAAGCCATTTTCTCAGTAAATCAGACTTCGTCTCGGTGAAGCACTAGTAGGTGTGCGGGAAACATGGCGGAGGAGGGCAGGGGCTGCCCCTCCATTCACTCAGCAGCTCCTCGAGAGTCGCTCCTTTCCCATTCAAGTGAAATGTCTTCATTATTCAGTTCATAAGTTTATACTCTTAAATCATGCTTTATGGTACACAGGCATTTCAATTTCACATTTTCCATTAAGTATCTTTCTACCTACATACTGAACTTTTGTCAAAGATTCAAAACTAACCACACTGGATGCAGCCTCGGCACCCCAGACCACAGGCACAGTGTCCTTGAATGCAGCTGTAGACACCGTAGTCAGTTACTATACCTTCTGTCCTGCAATGACCACCCGGTCCCCCAACTTCAGGCCGGCTGAGGTCAGTACTGCCTTGCTAGTGGCACGATCGGAACTCAGGGGCGCGGGCTTGGAGACATCGCACGGCAGGGGCACCGCGGCCAGCAGCATCTGCTTGATTTCCTTGGCAGTGGCCGCGGCATCGGCCATTTCCAATGGCATTTCCACCGGGTCAGGAACCACATCGGCGGGCATCTCCCCTTTGTCGTTCTGCAAGAAAAGAGAGAATTTTCACTTTGCAATTAGTTGGAGCTCTACAAAGTCATATATATATATTTTTTAATATTTCGCCCAGCCAGCATGGCTCCATAGTTGAGCAGCAACCTATGAACCAGGAGGGGGTCTGAGGGGTGCGGGAAGAGATTGGACAAAAACCTTACACCTATGGATGAAGACAGTGGCAAGGGTAAGGGCATGGGATGGGATTGGGAATCAGGCGGAGGGGAGCTGTGGTGGTGGGGGAAGAGGAGGAGAGGAACACCTGTAATAATCTGAATAAAGATTTATTATAAAAAAAGAAAAAAACATTAAAATAACAATGATTATTTTCATGCAAATATAAGAAGGCTTAATTATAGAATTCCTTTTTTTTCTGAAATAGTGGTTATCAGAGCATGATCTACATGGTGACTGATTTTTTTTTAAATACTAAACTTCAAAATATGGTAATCTATTATTATTTCTGGCATGAATTGGCAATTTACCTCGATGACATACCTTGCTGTGTGGTAGGCAGTTAGACAGACATGAGCAGAGCAAGGATGATGGACGAGGTACAGTAGATCACCAGGGCGGAAAGCCCCGGCTGCCTAGCCAACAGGCAAAACTGGAAAAACAAGGCCCTTCCTCCCCTAGGTATCTGGTCAGATGTTTTTACCCCCTGACCTTTCGTATCACTGATCTTACCGATCAGACACTCCCTGACCTTTCCTTCCCTGTTGCCAGTCTTGCTGGTTACACAACCTTGGAGGGGGAATGAATAGGGGGCTGGAGAACAGCCCTCAAGCATTACACCCCCCGAGACAATGAGGTTCTGACCCATGTCATGTACATCTAAGCCTCAGTTGTGTTTCAGCTCCAGGCCCAGAAAAACAGCAAAGCCAGACAAATAGCTGACACAAGGGCCAGCAGCACTGACTAATGGCCCTGCCCTGGCGTCAACCAATTAGTGGGAACCACAACCTTGAAGGCACACACCTGGAAAGCTGATGAATATTCTATTAAGATCTCCTCCTGGGACCTCACCTAAATCTCACCCTGAAAAGCCCTCAGGACGAGGACCCCAAGTGCTGTCCCTCCTGGAAGCAGCCTTGTGCCTTTCCCCTCCCTGTCCACCCTCACCTTTCCCCCCCTTCTCCCACCCATTACCATTACCTTCCACTCCTAAGCTCCAAGACACCTTCTTTTGCCTCTGTGACTTGCTGCCTAAGCCCAGTTCTACCACTCCCTCTACCTCTGTTACTCCTGTAGTGTGAGCCTTGGCTCTGAGTTCCTTCCTGGCCAGAACTCAAGTAACCAAGTACCAAGGTTACTGAACCCAGGTCTGGTCTGACTCCAGTGGTCTAACACCTGGTGCCTTTCTCGCCACTGCCAACAACTGCATCTTGCTAAGTTCAAAATATTCTCTCCACTAGAGGGGTTTTGTGAACAGTTTACCAGCAAAAGCAAACATGATCACCCTCCCATTCCGGCCAAACTGAATTATCATCTTCTAGCAGTTGCTCATGCTACTGTCTGTGCCTAAAACGCTTTTCTCACCTCCTTCCTATGTGTACCTGGTTAATTTTAACTAGGTGTGAGCACTCACTGTCACCTTTGCCAGACACCCCTCCTATACAGGCCCTCTGTGCACACCGTGCCCACCCCTCTACCACTAAACTTAGCACACTACAGCAAAACCACTGCTTACTGTCCATCCTCCCCTCTAGACTCTACTCTTTTTAAAGACAAAGACTTTTCCCTCCTTTATTGTTGCTTTCTCCTAGTGCCCAATAAACAATAGGGAAGGGGGAGAGGAAGGGAGGAAGAGTTAATAAACCAACTGAGGGGGTTAAACAGGAAGAAAGGTGGCAAAGAAGTAGGGAGGAGTGGGGGGAGGGGAGGCAGGGAAGAGAAGAGAAGAGGCTCTCTCACACATTTGCCACTCTTGCCCGTGAAGAATCCCTGTCACTGGACTAAAAAAAAAAAAAAAAAAAAAAGAGCTACCGCTGTGAAAACAATAGAATACCACAGGATTTAAAGTTTATGAAATTCAACCCTGTGTGATAACTTTGTAAATCAGTAACATTACCATGAAAAAATACATTTTTTCCTTTAATTTGATTTTTTTAAAGTTCACTCCATTTTTAAATGTGCATCTTTCAAAATTGTCTGAAATAAAAATTTCTTTCCAAAAGAGTTTAAAATATAATTTAATACTGAAATATAACTTGAATATATGCATTTGTATTTGACAGTTAACATTTATAAATACATCAAAAGCCAAATGAAAGATCCTTAAACTCAAAGATGAAGGCACTTGAAGGAGCACTTCATGTTACTGAACGGAAGCAGGTTTTATAGACTCAATACCAGGGTTTAACACCATTACTCTTTACAGGGACACACAAATATAAATTACTTGCTTACATAGATTTCAAAAACATCATCTAAAAAAAAAAAATCTAGATTCAACTCTCTATGCACTGTTAGATGGTTAAATTTTTTAATTTAACTTCTTACCCGAAATGCAGGATTGGCGCCAAGCTCCAATAAGCATTTCACGGTGCCTGCACACAGGTTATACGCGGCAATGTGCAGAGCTGTCCCGAAATTAAAGTCACTGCAAGTAGCATCCACATCTGCAACCAAACATCACAAATATATTAACTAAATTTCTAAATGTAGCTAGTGTCATGTAAAAGGGGACAGGCTGGTGGTTTGGGGTAATGCTGGAGGGATGAGCTTCATTGGCCAATTTTTGAGACTTAACCCTCCAGAAGCAACATTTCACAATGGAACAAAATTTTCATATTACAATCTGGTTAACCAATTATGTTCTCAGCATAATAAAATTTCATTATAAAAAGGATTAATGTTATCGGCTTTCTAACTATCACAAACTAAACTATATTTAAAAGCAACTAATGGCAATAATACATATTTGTGGAGACAACCATTTTCACACCATCTCTCATTAAACCTCTAATCTATTTACCAGGATGACTACAATGAGGCAGTGGGGTTTAGGTCAGGCCCAGAAAACAATGGCCCACGAGCCAAATCAAAGTCACCATCTGTTTTTGTAAATAAGGTTTTACTGGGACATAGCCACACACATTCATTTACATATTCTCTATGGCTACTTTCATGCCACAACTACAGAATTTGGTAGTTGCGACAGAGACCATAAAAAGCCTAAAATATTTACTATCTGACCTTTCACAAAAAAAAAAAAAAAAGGAGAATGTTCACACCCAGAAGTTGTTAAAAAATAATTAAAAATATAAATGTCTACATATTGTACTCTTTCATAATAGTTTATTCAATAAATGAATTTGGACTTCAGAATAAGAAATAAAATCTTGCAATTCTAAGGACATTTTAATAACTTCATAAATTATCATGATCCTATACTTAGAAACAAGAAATCCTTCAGATTTGGGGATCCTATTTTGCTATTTTGAATGTTTTCTACAAGGGTTTACTATACCTCCGGTTCTGCCAATCCTATCTTCATCGAATCACCCCAGCCCACATGCCTCACCTCAACCAGCAGGATGTGCTCAAGACAAACTCTCCTGCGTTATTAAAGACACTGTACCATCAAGAGAGGCATTCCTCCTAACATTATTCAAAAGGCAAATAGGTGTAAGTTAAAGAGAAAGTGGACACTTATACAAAGCCTAGGTTAGAAACCAACATTCTGGGAAATTTATTTACTGAATCTCTAAGTCAAGTCATCTAAACGTGGGGAAACACTGCCTTTAACTACTGTGCTTGTTCTCCTAATTTCCTGAAAAGAAAACTAACCCAAGACAACCAGAGGAAAAGTCAGACACTAGGATGCAATTTAGAGATTCTCATGTTCAAGTTTAAGATATCAAGACAGGAAGACAAAAAAAAAAAAAAAAAAAAAAAAAAAAGGCCATATAAAAAGTTATCATTTCATAGACACACAGAATTTCAGAACTGAATACCATCTAAAATAAATACTCTTTTATGATTTCAATGCTTAGCTCTGAAGATTTTATTGCTCTATTTCTGGCTACTCAAATAGGACAAAAGAATTATATAGCACAAAGATTCAATTACACTTTATAAAATCATGTTATCCTGGGAAATTTGCAGAGAGATAAAAACCTGGAGAACACTTTTTATTTTGTATCTCTTTGTACTGAGCCTTTTTGTGAAAGGACAGTAACTAATCTTTACTATAGAAAATTTAAAACTATTCTTGAAAAAAATGAGATGGGAGGTCATATGGAACAAGATGGATTAGGAAGGAAAAAAATTCTTTGAATTATCATTTTCAGGCCACTAATAAAACATTCAATGAGTAACATTTGCCAAAACCGGTTTGGCTCAGTGGATAGAGCGTCGGCCTGCGGACTGAAAGGTCCCGGGTTCGATTCCGGTTAAGGGCACGTATTTGGTTGCGGGCACATCCCCAGAGGGGGGGTGTGCAAGAGGCAGCTGGTCGATGTATCTCTCTCATCGATGTTTCTAACTCTCTATCCCTCTCAATTCCTCTCTGTGTAAAAGTCAATAAAATATATTTAAAAAAAAAAAAAAAAAAAAAAAAAAAAAAACATTCAATGAGTAACATCTAATGGCGATCTTATAGTACTTGCCTTTTGGTTTGGATGTCTTCAAAATCACTCTTACAAGCTCAGGGACATCAAAATAAGCAGCATAATGTAAAGCATTCATATTTGTCCAGCGACTCCGCAAACTAATGTCTGCTCCCAGATCAATAAGTTGAGTTGCAAATTTTACAGCTGTATCAACATCACCTAAGGAAGGTTTTCTAAATTATTTCTCTTCCGTACAAATTTAAGTTCCAATGGATGGCTAACCACGACCTCATTTAAAAAGCCAAAGCAAATAGTATATACTGCATATACATTTATACCTCAAAAAAATTTAGTCTAAGAAAATAAGGAAATATTCAGAGTTGTGGATAAATACTTAGCTGTAAAGATATTCATCACAGTACTTTTTATTATGAATAAAATTCTGAAACAACCTAAAAGTATAATAATAAGAAATCGGTTAAATAAATTATGAGACATCCATAGAATGGAATACTACACAGCCAGTAAAAACAACACATGGGACCAGTGTTACTCAGAGTGGGCTGCAAGGACTACTGCCAGTCCCAAAATAAAATTTGTTTGTACTTTTTATAGCCCTTTTCTTTTTTCCTATAAATCATTTCTTATAAGTATATTAATTAAAATATCATTTTATGTCTTTTGAAAATATTTGGGCTTGTATTTTATATCTTTACTAGAGGCCCAGTGCACAAAATTCATGCATGGGTTGTGTGTCCCTCAGCCCAGCCTGCACCCTTCGAGGGATGTCCAACTGCCTGTCTAGGCCCAATCCTACTGGTCAGTCGGACATCCCTCTCACAATCTAGGACTGCTGGCTCCCAACGGCTCACCTGCCTGTCTTCCTGATTGCCCCTAACTGCATCTGCCTGTCAGCCTGATCACCCCCGAACCACTCCCCTGCCAGCCTGATTGATGCCTACCTGCTCCTCTGCCAGCCTGATTGCCCCTAACTGCCCTCCACTGCAGGGCTGGTCACCCACAACTGCCCTCCCTTGCAAACCTGGTCCCTCCCAACTGCCCTCCCTGCTGGCCTTCTTGTGGCAGCCATGATGTGTCCACATGGGGGCAACCATCTTTGACCACATGGGGGCAGTCATCTTGTGTGTTGGAGTGATGGTCAATTTACATATTGCTCTTTTATTAGATAGGATTTCATTTTTCTATTATTTCATTTTATAAAAGTATAAGTCTGTGATAGCAAAAAAAAAAAAAGAATCCTTCACTATCAATAGCTTAAGAAGCACTATATCAGACTATGGAAACACGGGGAGATGGTCACAACAGTTAAATAACAGAGGCAAATTTATACAATAGGAAAACACCAATTTTAGAAAACATGAGCACATGTTATGTATGAAGAACAGACCCAAGACAGGCCTAAGGACTGGGGCCTCCGGGGTTGGGTTGCCTAGAAAACTGAGCTTGGATCCAGAAAGGGTGGGAAGTGCCAGGAGGCTGTTAAGACCACCTTGAGAAAAGGAAGAAAAGGCAGTAAGTTTCCGGGAGGACCTAACTGAATCTCACCTATTCAGGGACTGTTATCATCAGAGCCAGGTGCTCCCCCAGGGACTATGGTTGTACAGGCACCAATACAGATGTTCTAAGCAATTGAATAGGTTTACCACACACTTACCGATACCATGAGCTCCGGACTTGCAGGTATAATGTAGAAGAGTCATATCTGTCAGTCCATCTCTGTCATTCACATTGCAGCCTCTCTTAAGAATCTGAGGAAACCCAGGAAGAGGTGATGACAACAACTACTGAAGTCGACTGACTTCAAACCGATGCTGGGCAACAAGCAAGCCTGCCTTTTTGGCCTAGTTCTCAACAACACGTATAGACAGAACTGGCTTCTCTTGAGGAGAGATCTTACGTCTGCACCCAACAAGAATGAAAACTGAACTTGCCAACCGACTGAAGGAAATTTATGAAGAGTATTACAAGGTAATCTAGCACTCCAAATATGTCCCTTAGCCTCTCAAAGAGTAAGCAAAATTCTATTTATCATGGGTATAAGGGTATTTGAAAAGAGTGTGAGCACTCTCTTCCTACAATATGATAATATGCTGGCCAAGGAAACAAGTTATTCTTTCATCCCACCTTCAAAAAATATTTTTAAATTATATTTAAGCCTAACTCTTTAACAAATGACCCAAAAGTATAGATAAAACATGATGATAATCAAATACCCTCAATGAAAGATTTCTTTAAGTTTACAAAATTAATTTGTACTAGAAAGAAAGTACCAAAAATGCCTGCTCCTGTGAAGAGTCTACAATGTCAGAATCCCATACGTAAGAGAGTGAGGAGCGTGAGGGAATAATGGAAAGAATTTATAGTACTAACTATTTAACTATAGTAAAAACGTGGAAATACAAAGAACAAACATCAGACTCTTTAAAAGTTCTCCCTTTTATCACCATCTTTCCATTTAGATTGGAGTGGGGGGTTGTGATTAACAATCCTAAATTGTGATAATTTCTTACCTCATTCCCAATAATGTCAATGTTCTGCTGGACCTGAGGAACCCACTGTCTTAAAATGGCAAATAATTCTGATACAGAAGTTTTGGGATCAAAGAGAATTTCCTGGCATGATGTATCATTCGGATCAAAAAAAGAGAACTCTGAAATAAAAGGGGTAAATTAAATTTATTAAAAGTTACAAATAAATAGGTTTACCATACACTTACCAATACCAAGAGGTTGGTATTGGTAATATCCTGAAAATACTAAACAATAAGACCAGAGCTTAAATGATACCAATATTTTTAGATGTTAGAAAAAGTATATTTTTACCTTAAGTAATACTCAAAAACAAAATAAAAATTGCCAAAAAGTATGAGGCATTCTTGAGTTGTTGTGAAAATGAGATTTCGATTTACCATCCAATAATTTATCATAGATGCGACAAAAACATAACCCTGATCTCAAACCCCAAACTTTCCAAAAGTTATTTCTAAGGCAGATAAAATTTGTCAAGTCTGATCAATATTTTCACCTCTAAAAATATAAATGTGTCATGAAGAGTAAATTCACAACTAAACAAATGAATTAGATATCTAAGCCATGAATTTATAAAAATAGGTCTCGAAAAAACATTAATCAATAAATTAAGTTGCAGAATAATATACAATATCAATCGCTTACAGAAAATTATAAACTTATAAAACAAAAATGCATATTGTTTATAGGCAATAAAAGTATAATAATAAGATTTGCCGGGACCGGTTTGGCTCAATGGATAGAGCGTCGGCTTGGGGACCGAAGGGTCCCGGGTTCGATTCCAGTCAAGGGCATGTACCTTGGTTGCGGGCACATCTCCAGCAGGGGATGTGCAAGAGGCAGCTGATCGATGACTCTCTCTCTCATCGATGTTTCTAACTCTCTCATCATGTTTCTGGCTTTCTATCTCTCTCCCTTCCTCTCTGTACAAAAATCAATAAAATATATTAAAAAGTATAATAATAAGATTTGGAATATTCACACTCAATATAAGATAGTTGTTACCACTGAGGAGCAAGGGGAATTGGCTCAGAAAGGAAAGTGGAGGGGATATATCTTTAAAGTTTTATTTCTTTTAATAAGAAAACAAGAGCTAAAGGAAATACAACAAAATACTAATATTTGTTCATTCTGATGGTGGACATGTGTGATATACATTTTTTTTAAATATATTTTATTGCTTTTTTAGAGAGAGGAAGAGAGAGGGATAGAAAGCCAGAAACATGATGAGAGAGAATCACTGATCAGCTGCCTCTTGCACACCCCCAACCAGGGATGTGTCTGCAACCAAGGTACATGTCCTTGACCAGAATCGAACCTGGGACCTTTCAGTCCGCAGGCCGACGCTCTATTCGCTGAGCCAAACTGGTTTTGGCTGTGATATACATTTTTGCCTTTACTGTTCTTTGCATTTGTAAATGATTTCCTATTTTTTTAAATGAAATACAATAAAAAAAAATACACAATAACAATAAAAATAACAAACATGCCAATAAATTTGTGAGGTTGCTTAGACTTTCTATAAATAGATTTTTCCATACAAACAACTATAAGCCTGCATTTGCCCCACCCTGTACACGGTATGTAAATTACCTTATTTCATCCTCATAACAAGATATGAGATCAGTGTTATTATCCTCATTTGATCAAAAAATAAACAAGGAAATAGAGAAAATAAGTAATATGACAAGAGTCAGTTTCCCACTGTTAAAGATAGCTAAGTGGCTAAATGGGTGTCTGTCAGAGCTTCTGAAATAGAATTGATATGCTGGAAAGTGAGAAAGGAAAGTTCAACTATAGGTCCATTCAGATTCTAAGAATCCATAATTCTGAAAATATGGACAATGTTTAATTTCAGTTATACAAAAGGGTCAATATCTATCGTCACCTTTCATTCAATGTATTTATTCAACACAAACTGAGCAACTAATCAATAAATTACTTTATTAGCCCTACCGATACAAATAAAAACAAAACATAATTCCTGCTCCATCCCAAAGACTTATATAATCTAGGAAAGGAAATAAGACAACTATGACTTAAGGTAGAATTAGGTAAGTGTCATAAGCAAGGAACAAAGTACTTTAGTTCAATACTTTTCCCATATAACTAATTTTGCTATATCTGACAATAAACCCAGTCAATTTGTGTAAAAGCTGCAAATAATTCCCAAGATGTAGGCACAGATTTTGTGTAATACTTTCGATGATTTCAAGGTAATCCACTGCACAATCTGAACACATAAAAATAGCATACTTAGAAATGAATAGTTATTAGAATGGATATGACTAAAAGGACAAATTTCCAATCCAATAATTTTTTTATATCTACTAATATTTAAAAATTGTATTATCTCTACCTTCAAAGATGATTTGAAATGGTGACCCAATATTTTACTTGAAAAATTCCAAATCAGAAATGTAACAAATCTATCAAATTTATCTCTGTTGTTCTTTTACCAACTAGCTGATAAAATAGGGTCTTGGGAGAAAATTTATCTAAATAGATAAAAACTAGGATACTCTTAAATTTATATTTTACCGAGGAGATTTAAATGAACCAATTTAAATAAGAACCAATATCATTGCATGGGAAGGTCTCACCCTCCCTGATTTTTTTTAGTTTTACTATATTTTATTTGTGTACTAGAGGCCCAGTGCACAAATGCGTGCACAAGTAGGGTCTCTCGGCCTGGCCAGAGATCAGGGCCTATCAGGGCCATCTCACCCAGTCCTGAGGGACCATGGGAGGTTGGCTGTGGAAGCACACTGACCACCAGGGGATAGCTCCTGCACTGAGCATCTGCCCCTGGTGGTCAGTGTGTCCCATAGCTACCAGCCAGTTGTCCAGTTGTAATGGTCACTTAGACTTTTATATAGACATAGATAGATATAGATAGATATAGATATAGATATAGATATAGATATAGATATAGATATAGACATAGACATAGATATATAGATATATAGATATATAGATATATAGATATATAGATATATAGATATATAGATATATAGATATATAGATATATAGATATATAGGTATATAGGTATATAGGTATATAGATATATAGATATATAGATATATTGATAATTACAATGATGATTGAGACAGGGTCCAAATTAGACTTACTTGTGTACTAAAACTTGTTATAATACATTGTCACCTGAGTTTGGGGCCTTTCAGGAAAGAGCATTTCCTGTGTTAATTAGAATTCTAGCATTTCAAAGACCACAGGGCCCCTAGAGATGGCTAGTTGACAATGCTTTCGTGTAATTTTTCTCACTATATGGATTTGTAAACAAATCACTATATTTAACCAAAATAAATACATGAATACCAGAAGAATGCTAGATGTCTAAGCACCACTGCATCCTGAAAATAAGTTCCTCTAAACCAATCATGGTGCATAAAATGAACTGTTACCTAGTAAAAATGCTGATAGCAGAAATGAAATGTTTCATTTAAGTAGCAGAAACAGCAATTGTATTTTTGATAAAGGAAAACTTTAGCAATTTTAAAAATTATGAGCATAAAACAGACATAAGGCGAAAGTTACCAGTTCATAGACAATAAAGTCAGCTACTTCACATACCACAGTCAGAAGGCATTGGTGCTGCGGAAATGGAGAAGGTCACGGGAGTTTCTGAACCTGAAAACAAAAACGGGTATCTTCCGATCAGAGACTCTCCGTCCACTGGGAACTCTGGGAGGTCCTCTATGGTCATCTTTCAGAAAGCCACCTGCAAGGGGAGGAGAGAGAGAGCACGTTACTGTGAATGCCACTGAGAGTGACTGCCTTCACCATAAACAGCCTGTGTTCTTTTAATATCTAACTTACTGACCTTACTGACATTTTCAACTTCAACCTTCAAGAATCACTTTAGAAAGGAAGCAGGGGAGGGGGGGGGGGCTACCTTTTAGCAAACATAGCGCTTATGGAGTCAGCAGTACATACTATCTTTCTAGACAAAGCTCAGGAGTCATATTATTTCCCAATTATAGGTGGGGGAAAAAATGTTTAAATGTTGAGCTAATCTAAATGGGTGATGTTTTCTTTACTCACAGATATTATCCCTGGTCAATGGACCTTTAACTTCTCATGGAATCTGACACCCAATAGCTCTTGCACATGCTCATCACAGGAACACAATCTAGTTTAGGATATTCTCATTATTTCCTGACATCCCAGAAAACTTTAATGAATGTTAATCACATCTCTCGTCCAAATCTAAAAGCCCACTTCTGCCGAAACCAGTTTGGCTCAGTGGCTAAGTGTCAATCAGTGGATAGAGCGTCGGTCTGCAGACTGAAAGATCCCAGGTTCAATTCCGGTCAAGGGCATGTAATTTGGCTGCGGGCACATCCCCAGTAGGGGGTGTGCAGGAGGCAGCTGTTTGATGCTTCTCTCTCATCGATGTTTCTAACTCTCTATGCCTCTTCCTTCCTCTCTGTAAAAAAATCAATAAAATGTATTATAAAAATAAAAAATAAAAGCCCACTTCTTAACAGTGATAGGATCTGTTCATTCCATCCTAGCAGGAGATGGAAGGCCATCCCCCATTTTTTTTTTTTTAGGATACAATTTTAAATTTAATTTTACTTGAATTTCACAAAAGAAAGAAAAGTTGATGAAATTGCTGAATTCATAAGTATTTTTTCTAGAGAAGAGATAATTCCCCTAAAACAGTGGTCGGCAAAATCATTAGTCAAAAGAGCCAAATGTCAACGGTACAACGATTGAAATTTCCTTTAAGAGCCAAATTTTTTAAACTTAAACTTCTTCTAACACCACTTCTTCAAAATAGACTCGCCCAGGCCGTGGTATTTTGTGGAAGAGCCACACTCAAGGGGCCAAAGAGCCGCATGTGGCTCACGAACCACAGTTTGCCAAAAACGGTCCTAAAACATCCCCTCAAGATTAAAAAAAGAAAGAAACTGAAAGAAGTCATTATGATTTTTCCCAAGGATGTATTTTCATTTTTGTATTTTGACTTCTTGTTGTGAAAGATGAGTTTGTTAGCCCAGCCACATGGGCATGAACACGCAGTTCTGAAAATATGGAAGCCCTTTTGTGCCAGTTAGTAAACATCAGCCACTGCCTTCTCCCCAGGGATCTCCCTCTCCTGGCTGCCCCATCCCACCACCAGGACCAACCCAAACCCCATCTCCACAGGACCCATAGCTAAGGGAAAGGGGACTCCAGCAGGCACCTTCAACACTTCACTCCAAGCAGCTTAGCTTCCATCTGTTTTATATAATGGCCTCAGATAAGGCTTTGTCTGCAGAAAGTATTCAGTGTGAAACCCGTTTGAAAACCCTGCTCAAGGTCAGCCCTTAGGCCCTTGCAGGTTTGCACAGTCCTGGATTTCTGAGAATGGAGGCCTTTCTCCCAAGCACACTAGCTCTTTATGAAGCCAAGTACGTGTCTGGGACAGAGGTGTCAGGATGCTAAGGAGGTTCCCGCTCTGTCTTCCTCACTCCAGGCTGGCAGATCAAAGGCTGGGTATTCAAGGGCTCTAACAGGTTTCCTGGAAGGTCATGCTTTTTAAACCATATCCCTGATATTACCTTTTCCCCAGACAACATGAGTGGTTTGAATAAATTTGCTATAAATTGGACTGGTGTTGCACCAAGCCAACCCATCAGAAATGATGGAGACAGAGGAAAAAATGTTAGTGAAACTGAACTATGAAGTCAAAAAACATCCAATTTCTTTTGCATCAAATCTTTAAATATGAAATATTAAGACTGTCTATATACTTTTTAAACACAAACAAAAAACCGTATTACAAAGCCAAATGAAAATGATTTTGTATATCTCAGTAGAAAGAATAGAATAAGTGAAAATAGCTAATTGATTGTGTCCTCTAGCAGATTATGCCTTGCTATTATTACTCAATGTGCTCTACTACCTGTGGTTAACCAACCTGCCATCTAACTTAATCATCTCTACCATCACCACCCTTGTCTAAGGAAACATCACTTCTCCAAGATAACCGGTTCCTTCCCAACTTGACTCACATGTTTGCTAAATGCTAGCAGGAACTAGTAAAGAGTAAAATGCTTTCTTTGTTCTCATACGGTGTATGTTTACATGGATGTAGAGATTATCACATATTAAATAACCCAATTCAGTGTTATTATGTTAACAGTATTCAAGTTTTCATGGATGCTAGAATGACTTGCCACCCAATACTTTGAATCATTTTGACATTAACCTTGCTAAATAATCCTATATAATAAAAGGCTAATATGCAAATGAACCATTAGCACAACAATGAGTCACTATGATGCACACTGACCACCAGCGGGCAGACACTCAACACAGAGCCGACCCCTGGTGGTCAGTGCACTCCCACAGGGGGAGCCCTGCTCAGCCAGAAGCTGGGCTCACGGCGGTGGGGAGAGCCTCTCCTGCCTCCGTGACAATGCTAAGGATGTCACACAACCGGCGTAGGCCAGCTCCCCGTGGCTGTCAGACATCCTCCGAGGGCTCCCAGACTGCGAGACCCCCCCTGGGCTGAGGGGACACCCCCCTCCCCAAGTGCATGAATCTCATGCACCAGGCCTCTAGCAGGAATATAACAAGGATTGGTGTCATATGGCCTGGAGATCTCCCTTAAATAGTCGCACATGCCACAAAGACCACCCTCCTTTCAACACTGTGGCTTCTCAGTGTAGAAGTAACTCAGCATTTCTACCTGTTGGCCTCCAATAACTTTGAACAAACCATTCCCTGCAGAGAATGAAGCTACCTTTAGCACAGCTTGTTAAACATGTAGCCACTGCCTACAAGGCACTACACTGATCTATTATAGATGTTTCAGGAAATAAAATAAAAAATGAGTTACAGATGGTCTCGGGCTTACAGTCTACTAGGGTGAATAAAATAGCACTAATTACTACAGGTGATGAAACAGGGGGGATTTGTTCCATAACATAAGTACCCGGAACATGCCGTGTGGCAGCTCCTGAGAATCAGAAACGGTGTGGGAAAGGAGACATCGCCTAGGGGACAGGTCTTGAAAGTTGAGTAGGCAGAGATTTGGGGCAGAAATGTAAAAGGGGAGCACTTAGAGGAACATAGGCTGGAATGTGCTCTACATCCCGGAAAACAGTGAGAGGTAAGGCTGTAATGGCTTTTTAGGGCTTTACTCAGAAGTACTTTAAATACCTGATCATAGACGAAACCTTTTAATTCCATGAGCACTGGGAAACCACTGATTATTTCAAAGGAGGCTGTCCTACTGTTCAAGCTGTGTTCTAGGAAGACTAGCCTGACTACAATCACATTTGGAGACTCGGGCATGTTTTTTAATACTCGTAATTCTTCAGCAGAGTGAATAAATGGTTATCATTCTGAGTTGGTTAAGAGGAGCCACCTTTCAAATTTCCTTTTCAGAGTGGGTTTTACATTCAAAAATGTTTTCTAAAAGTGATTCCCAAAGCACCTTTCATTTTCTTGCAGACTGTTGTGATTCTTAAAAGAACTGTATCTTACATAACTATCACTTGCCACAGGAGTTAGCTTAGTGGCCTACACATACTTAATAAATATTCAAGTCCTAGATTCAAGATGGAAAGATGAGTCATTCAACACAATGTAATCAACTTCATCATTTTACATGTCAGCTACTTCAAGCTCAGAGAGCTGTATTACCTAACCAATGGAGTGAACATTCTTTGTATTTTGTCTTCGTTCCATTTTTCCTCAGTTCTACTTCCTTTCCTTCATGAAACCCCAATAGTCTGCCCCACCAAAGGAATCTATACACCTCTACAAACTTTTGTATAGTCTTAAAATCCTTTTGCAAAAGAAATTTCTAGATGGCATGACACCTGGGAATACTGGTCAAACTTGGAGATATACTAACCTGAATGGAGTACATATTTTCATTTCAAATTCTAGTATGGTTAATTTGTTGGGTGATAATGGGTTATACAAAGTAAAGCTTAAGATTTTTAAGTTGGCCCTATTTAACTGTACATAACAGATACATTAAATAAATTCAAATTTCCCAAATCTTTATTTATATATGAACTAGAGGCCAGATGCACAAGATTCATGCAAGAATAGGCCTTCCTTCCCCTGGCTTCCCCCGCAGCTACCTGGGAGCCTGCAAGTCTTCACTCCTGGCTGCAGTGCTGCTCTGGAGCTCCCTCCACCCTCCCTCTCCCCTCATGGCAGATGTCCCACCCCACCCAGCCAATCCACGCCTGCATATGCAAATTAGCCTACCATCTTTGTTGGGTTAATTTGCATACTTACTCCTGATTGGCTGGTGGGTGTCACAGATGTGCAGTCAATTTGTATACTTCTCTTTTATTAGTGTAGATCCCATCCTATCCCATCACCCCAAATCAGCTCTGAGCAAAGCATTTGTAATATGGCTATAATATCTCATGATTTCTCAAGGACTCCTGGTCCATGACCTAACTCAGAATGGTGGTGAGAGGAGAGGCCCACTAACTTCTTCAGAGTAGTTAAAGGCTGGTTAGGGCCTCAGGAAGGAACCTCCCTGAGGCCTCCAGATGCCCTCGGATTTATGTGGAATATGGTTAAAGGGCAGCATCCCTGAGCTACTCAACTAACAGGAAACCCAAGCTGTGTCCACACAAGTTGGAATCATTCAACTTCACACAGCATTTTCTCATGAGTCTTCAAGAAATTCCAAAAAAAAAAAAGTAGCCCAACCAAAATAAGCATTCAAAATATGTCCTCAGC